GCTGGTCCACTGTGTCCTGCTGCTGGCCGTACTCAGACACAAAGCCAGGATTTTTGTGGCTGCTGACTTTACCAGACAGGCTTCCCATCTGCAACACAACAGAAAGAAACAGACAGAGCAGTCAGACCTGTTTTACAAATGTACCTTGCATTTGACCTTTAAACCTTTAACATTCAAATAATGGTGAATATTGTTTTGTAAGCAATATACCTTAACCTGCACAGACTCAAAACGTGGTACATCATTCTTCCCACATAGACATATGGTGAGGCTGTTGAGAACAGTTGCAGAGACCCCTTTAAAAGGTCAGCTGTCAAACCGAAACCTCTTCACATGATTGTTTTCGTTACATTACATATTGTTTGCCTTTTGGGTTGGATTTTTGGCACTTTTTGACACCTGACGTGAATTTGAGTTTTGGGAGCCTCCTTGAACATGAAACTAGATCATCCTGGTGAAAAAAAAACTAAAGATTAGAATCAATGTAAGAGTCTGCGATGGATAACCTTTCTCCACATTTAATCTCTGCTCGTTGGTTATTCATGTTGTGATGAAATCAGCTGAAACAAAATGGTACCTGCAAGGTCAGGACGTTAATGTCAGGTGTGCATAATAAGTAGAGAAGGAACTGATGCATTCAAAGCTTATAAACGTTCTTAAACGGCGTCAGTTATGTCAAAGTGAAACACAACTCACACCGCCTGAAAATGACACCGAGTGAATTGTTTTTTGATAAATTACACACCTTAACTTTAAATATATGCAAACACATTAAATGAAAAGGACTCAAGCTGTGTCATCTTCAGGCACAGTGTTGCACTCAACAGAGCCCCCACCACATGATTCTGTGTAGGTGGGTGTAGCTTACTGATCCATTTTACACACACACACACACATATACACACACACACACACACACACACACACACACACACGTCTGCATAAGGACTCCTGTAGATTTCACAGTTGTAAATAGTGACAGCATCCTGATACCTGGTTTTTAAAGAGCTTAATCATATGAATAATGCAACCACATGCAGGTGAAAGTGCTGAAAGTGTTCTCTGTTGTCCTCCAAAAAGCTCAGACGCACAGCTGGACTCCTTAAAGAAGCAAGTTCTCCGCTTCAGCTTTCCCAAAATACTGTGATCCTGACATCGGTATTCACAGACATGCATACAGCTATGATGTTTTTTGTATGTTCATACACACAGACACTCGTTTAATCATGAATGCAGGTTTTTTTTTTGGGGGGGGGCGTATCGAGGGGATTCTCTGTGTTTTTAGAGACGCTTTATAAATAGATCAAAGGACTATAGCAGCCAGAGATTCAGATCAGACTGGAATATCAAGTGAAAGATAAAATAGAGCAAGTAGGCGCCATGTCACATCTCTACAGACTCGCATCCACTACAAAAGCAGTGTTGGCCTTAGCACTAAGAAATACAGATCTGAATGCCAGCTCAAGCTTACAAATGAGTCCAAAAGACTGTTAGGGAAAGTGCTGACTAATGACAGCACCACTAGAAAAGCTGTGTTTTATTTTTCATCAAAGGCACACACCCTTTCTCTGATGCCATCTTTCTTGCGGTTCAGGCACATCTCTGTGGTTCTCATGTGCTGCAGAGTTTCTTTGGCCAATAGGAAGCGTAGTTTCTCCAGCCTGGGAGCTGCAGACGCCCAGGCAGCAGCTCCAAAGCGACATTTATCCTCCTCCATCTGCTTTGACATACCTGAACGTACACAAAGGGTGTGTTAGGTCCACATCGAACAAATCAGTCAAAAAGCAAAATAAAAAAACAGGACCATCCTTGTTCATATTTCCATGTAATCAGATGGAGAACTTCAAGAACACCAGAAACTAAAAAATACTGTTGGGTAAGGGAAGTACATTTTTTTTCAATGGTATTTTTTCCATTCCTGAAGCAGCTCCTTTTATCAAACCGTCAGAAAACAGGAATGCATGTGTAACTTTAAGCACACGAATTGCCTGATCTACAGTATACAATGTGGTTGTGGAGCTGGTGTATCTATAAAAAAATATTTTGGATGTTATCAGATCCATAAAACTCCCTCATAAAGACGGCTGACAAGTTATAATATATTAATCAAATCTAAATAGTCGAGGAAAAAAGCAGTAATATCCTCCTTAATTCCCTTATTGTTTTACTCAGGGCACAATTTTAAATGCTTGCTTTGATAATGAATTCTTTCCACAGAATGTATATATGTCTATGAAGAGGTCCTTAACACTTTGATGTCCCTTTAGATATATTTGACAGTGTATGTTTGGTGTGAACTCTTTATCATTCATTAATATGTAGTTTTTTTCTGCTGTGTGCTGATGAATGACAAATTATAGTCACTAATGAATCCATCCACACACGAACAGAGAAATAAAAACAGTAACTTTTACCAGCCAGAGCCTTTGAAGTCTGTGCAAAGTAGGTGACAGTGATGTCCTGAATTGAGGCGACTGCATCTTTGGCTTTGTTTTTCCACTCCTCCGCCTCCTTCTCCAGAGCGGAAATTCTCTTAGGACCCAAGTCCTCAAACTCCAAAGACTTCTGCAGAGAACCAACAGGAAAACAGTGGACAACATTTTACTAAAGGGAATTCTATTCTTTGCCATATAGGGATAAATCATAATAAAAGTTAAATAAGGGTATTTAAAACAACAACAAAAAGATCAAGTCTAGACTGTACTCTTTGTTAAAGGTGCTTGTTAGAAGTCTGTAGTGATTTACTTACAAGGATCTCCATCTTGTAGAGACAGGCCAGCTCTCTCATGTCCCTGAAAGGCTGTAGCAGATACTGGAAGAAGGTGGTGGCCACAGTGACCAGGTCCTGGTAGGCCTCGTCCTCGTCGTCATAGATGCTGAGGAGCGCAACCATCCCATCTGCGTTTCCATGACTCTGCAGCAGCTGTAAATATGGAGGACAGAAACACCATACCATGAGCATTTACTTTACTCTACACGACTTTTGACATAGAATACAACTCGGATATCCAATAGAGCTGAAAAAAAATTACAAGTCAGCAGGTCGGCAACTATTTCTTATCGAGTCGTTAAAGTTGCGATACTGATAGACCACTGCGATGACCTTTTTCCACCTGGGTCAGCAATGTGTGGATACATCCAAGAAAGAATCAATGTAGTTAAGAGTTAGAGTTGAAAGAACAATGGATTTAATGCAGATTGCGATAGAAACCATTATTTATTTTCTCGTTAAATAAAAAAAATCTGTATAATTGGGAATGTCCAAAGAAGAGGCTTGAAAAAGCTGCATTGATTGGTAATGTAGTCCCCAGTCCATCTTTTTAAATGTATATTAAATGAATTAAAGCGGAAAACGTTATTTATGAATTGCATTTTATTCTGTTTATGTTCCTTCATGCCATGCTCATTTGAAATGGAGATAAATGTATCTCATGATATTGACGAGATGTTACTGATCCACTGATGTACAGAGTTTCATATCCCTGAAATTTAAACGTGAAGTTTTCAGCTTTACTATATTTCTAACGCACTTTAAACTATGTTATTTATTGTGTAACAACAAGCAAAATGTAAAATTACATCTGTGTGCACACTTGAGCCTCGCAAACAACACACAGCAAACAACACACAGCGAACAACACAATCACAGAGGTGTTGCAACATCAAAGCTTTGACTGAATCAAAAGGAGCTAAAGTTTGCTGAGTCATAGAGTAGGCTCACATTCAGACTTGTAACACTGTGTGGTGCTAATCCTTCAGGGTAACATTGAAAGCATTCAAGGAGGGTAGTGTTTAGTTTATAGAGGTTTCCAAACATGTACTAACCCCCCCCCCAACCATTTTTTGTTTTCTTTTATCGGATTAAGACTGCTACCATGACTTTTGACTTTTGGTACACAGTACACATGGGAAAACATCTATTTATAATGTCAAAGCTTGGTTTCGATTTCAATTTCGATATGCAAAGCAAATGATCTAAGTATAGAGCGAGTTTTAAAATCAAAGTTGAAACTACTCTATGAAACACTGCGATGAAGCTTGTATTCAAAGACACTATAACAATATTTATTATGTTTGTTTTGAGTGTTTAAGTCTATCGTTATTGACATGGAGGAAACAAAAATGTTAATGTTTTATATTATACATAAATATGTCTCTAATTCACATTAGAATCTAATAAAAAAAAACTATATTAGGAGCATTTTTCTATAACACAAACTGTATTATCTTCAGTCAGTATTGATAAGGGGCAGACTGTCTTTTTAGAATAGGTGTAGGCTACCTAATAAACTGGCAACACATTGATGCCCAGCTGTGAGCCAGATGTGACCTCTCCCCACATCTGTCAGACCCCTCACCTGTCGCAGGTGACCTTTGGCCCGGGCCATCTCCACCTGCATGGTCTTTCTCTTGAACTCTTGCAGATTTTCGAAGTACTCCTCCACATCCCGCTCGTCCTGCGTGAATAACGCGTCGAGAACAATTTTTCGCCCGCATATGTCAATGGCTGTGCTGAAGTATTTCTCCAGCCTTCTGCACGTCGCGTCAAAATCCCGCTCGTCGTTGTCGTCTCCGGGTCCCGACCTCCGAGTCAGGAAGAGCAAGTCCCAAATACTGCCCTCTTCAAACTCGGACAAATCCGGGAAGCACACCGCCAAAGTGTCTGCCACGCATGTGAAATGTTGATGGATGTGTTTGAGGTCGCTGACGGAGAAGAGTCCAGCCCAGCTCATCTGCGGGTCACCTGCGGAAACCTCCGCTTTTCGTTTCTGACGTTGCAGCGTCCGGTTGTGGCAGGTGACAGCAAACTTACACTCGATGATGTTCCATTGAACGATAAAGCCGAGCTTAAATGTCTCCGTTTCTTCAAATATATTACTTTTCACTGTCACCCAGCCCTCCAGACTATCTAAACGCTCACACTCGACGTTATTCATCCTAAAAGTCATCTTTCACTTTGGCCCTTCCGAAAATGCTGCCCTGCTCTGTTTACAACGTCCGCCATTTGTATGACGTATGCTTCCTTCAGGCAATTCACACACATCCGGAACAATTCAATACGCAACACACTAGGTGCAACACAAACTCGTAAATCTACTTTCAAGGATAATGTCATATCAACCGAACAAGAAACAACAGAAACCAATTTGTTTACAGCACATTTCTGTATTAGAAATATTTAAAAAAAAAAAAAACAAAAAGCCAATTCTATAATGGATGACGCGCAAGTTCTCGAAATTCTTCCTCTTGTTAAAAAACAGGTCAGTGTTTCTTGTTGTTTCATCAAAGTAATAGTTATAAAAATGGAGTAGCCTCTAATCTCTATCATTAAGAGACTGAAAGCTCATTCGAGGTCGTATCTCTGTTATTTCTTAACAAAAGCGTTTGAAAAACTGGCGTTTACGAGGAGTCATGAAGGCACCGCAATGTTCGTGGCAATGTTTTCAACTTCGACCTTTAAATCACATGTTTTAGGGGATTTCCACATCAAAATATCAAGGCAATAATTGTGCCAAGCACTAATCTCAAGTGTTGACGGTGTGTTTACAGCATCTAATTAGTCTTAATTGTATGTTTTATTCAAAAAATAACTTACTTCTTGCATGAATTGTTGTCATGCCTATGACATTTGAGCAGTCTGTGTCCCATCTATTTTTGTCCAGTTTCTGGGTTAGGGTTGGACTGCTGACACTGTTGGCTGGTCGGACAACACTGTTGGCATGAAATGGTTGTTTAGTAGAACAGACGGATTTTCTGAATTATCCAGGTAAATTTGCCATCTGCTGAATTTGCAACATTAAGAACTAATTTCATTGATTGCTGTGCATATTTTATTTGCGTGTTTCAAGTATGGAGAATGGGTTTTTTTTCCCGATATAAATTATTTTGTGTTCGTTATGTTGAGCTGAATTGTTGTTTACCAATGGTTTGGCAGGCTATAGTTTTAACAGTAAGAGGCTGAATTAAATTGTAAATTGTTTTTGCTCTTTTCAGACACAATATTTATGGCTGGTTTGTATATCTCCCGCAGCCATTCTCATGGACCTGTTTGAGATCAGAGGAGGCACACTGGATGTGATTGCAGAAGAAGCAGAGCACCAGGATTTGAGCAGAGAGTCGACCACTATGGAGTCCTTTAATGTGACTTCAGACAGAGGAGGGAGGACAACCCGAGACGTATCCACCTTCCAGAGGTTTTCTGTGGACACCAATGAGTCCCTTCATTTTGAGCCCTGTGAGGCCATCACCCCATCTCCCACTGGGGCGGAAGATGGAAATGATGAGGATGACGTGTTTAAGGAGGAAGGAACAGAGGTGGGGACATTAATACAGCTTTTGTTTAATATGTATACAATTACATATAGAGTATACTTAATGTGAAAATTGCAACATAAATTCAGATGGAAAACATGCCATTAATGCTTCTTATGACAACCAAATTTTCAGATTGAGCCATTTATTTGAAGGCAGGAACATTGTTTGTTCATGTTTTTTAAATTAAAAGAAAAAAAAAGGTAAAATTATGAATTTTAATGGATTTCAGAGTGAAATCGTCAAAATCAGGAATCGTTTGCAAGCAAAGGTTGCTGAGATGGAGAGCTTTGCAGGTCATCTAGAGGAAATCTTTCTCACCGTGGAGGTAAATGTCACACACTGAAGACTTAAGAAAATCATTTTTTGTGCCATTGATTTATTATCGTAGATCTTTGTGAGCAAGAGGGAATACTTTTGTTATTTTCTTTGATGGAACTCAGAAACTAGAGAAAGTTCTAGATGTCACGTTTATTTTTTGTAACTGAAGAGCTTTACTCATTGCCTCCCTTTTATCTGTCATCCTCTCTTGTTTTTATTAATGGATAACAAATATTTATTTTGTACGATTGTATAAATGTGTGCACAGGAGAATTTTGGCCGTCAGGAGCAGCACTTGGAGCAGCACTACAACGATGTGCTGCAGACGTTGTCTCAGAGGTACGATGAGAGAGCGGCTGGTTTGGAGGAGGAGAAGAAAGGAAAGCTGGAGGCCCTGTACACTCAGCTGCTGTCTTGTGGCCAGGCGATGGATGCTTCCAAAGAGCTTATTGAGACGGCCCAGGAGATCTACCGCACTCAAGACAAAAGGCTTTTCCTGAAGGTGCTGAAGCTTGCACTCTTGTTTGACTTTTCTTCAGCGAGTCATTTAAACCTGGAGATTACAATAGAAGATTTTGCTGTCATTGTCCTGATGTAGAAAGAAAAGACAGTAAATGTGATTGTGGATATACATTTTATTTTATTTTAAATATTTTAACTTTGTTGTATGTTTATTTGACATTTATTGACAGACAGTTATGCCCACCATCAAAAGGTAATTATGATGTCATTCAGTGGGTTTGTCGCGTGATGTGAAACTGCACCGTGTGATTTTAAAAGACTGACTATTAACAGTACATTGTTTTAATCATGTGTCAAAGTGTTTTTTGTTTATTTTCTGACTAACAGTAACTGCCAATACTTACAATGACAAAGTAGACCAGTGGTTGAAGAAGTACCTGTAAGCTTTTGTTAGTTTAAAATACTAATACAGTAAAAGAACAAACAAGAGCTTCTGTGTTCACAATCTAAAAGTTAAATAAAAGTAAAAATAAGTTAAAATAAAAAGTTTTTTTATTATCAAGTTATATACGTTATTGTTTTTCACTGACAAAATATTATATATGATGTTTTTCTCTTGCTATTACTTCTGGATTTATTTGCAAGTTGCATTTAACTGCATCTGTTTTTTTTTAAATGTTTGTGAGGATTTTAATTTCTTTATATAACTTTGTGTGGCATTGTCTAATAATATGTATGATATTCTATAAAATAAGAATATGTCTCAAGTGTCAATGTCCTGTGAAAAACATAGACTCTTCACTATAACTCAAGTTATAGTGAATTTGAAGTTGAAGTGTTTTCATTATTAATAATAGTAATAATAATAATAACTTAGATTTACTGTATATAGCTTCTTTCATGAAACCCAAGGACGCTTTACAAAGTGTGTGTGGGGGGGTGGGGCGTATTAGGAGGCAATAAGAGACAAACAAATGAAGGAGTCATCAGCAGTGGGTGATCAGCAGGGGGGAGTGTTAGGTTTGATGAGGCTGGATGCTTTGGTGAACAGGTGGTGTTTGAGGAGGTTTTCAAAAATTGATATGAAGAGATGGAAAATGAAACCAAGCTTCAGAAAAATTAAGTTAAATCTATTTTTTTCTTAATTGTTGTGCAGGAGGTGTATAAAGTTGCACCAACTTAAAAAAACTAATACAAGCACTTTTTATTTGTATGTTTAGTACAGCACTTGTTCTACTTTTGTGGTTTCTCCAGCATCGAGGAGTTTGCTAAGGAAGAGAGTGACCTCACATTGACCACACGTCTGGAGTTTAACACACCGCTGGCTGACCTGTCAGATGTCAAAACCATGATGGACTCCATCAATGTCGTTCCAGGTCTGATTTACAAATCATGCTCATTTTATCCACAAACAATTGGTCAATGACCGTTTTTTGTACAAAACACAGACATCATGTGAGGTTATCAATCAATTCACTCTGTTGTTTGTTTGTCTCGATTGACTTACGCACTAGCAGACACAGCAGAACAAGAATTACAGAGCTAAACAAAATCAAATCCAAATTCATCCATCCATCCATCCATTTTCTTCTGCTTATCCGAGGTTGGGTCGCGGTGGTCGCAGGCGCAGTAAGTCAACCCAGACTTCCTCTCCTCAGCAATGTTTTCCATCTCCTCCTGGGGGATTCCGAGGCGTTCCAGGCTAGACGGGATATATAATCCCTCCAGCGCATTCTGGGTCTGCCCCGGGGTCTCCTCCCAGTTGGTCGTGCCTGGAAAACCTCTAAAGGGAGGCGTCCAGGAGGCATCCTTAACAGATGCCCAAACCACGTCAACTGGCTCCTTTCGATGCGGAGGAGCAGCGGCTCTACTCCGAGCTCCCCTCGAATGTCCGAGCTCCTTACCCTATCTCTAAGGCTGAGCCCAGCCACCCTCTGGAGGAAGCTAATTTCGGCGGCTTTTATCCGCGATCTCATTCTTTCGGTCACTACCCGTAGCTCATGACCATAGGTGAGGGTTGGAACGTAGATCGACCGGTAAATCGAGAGCTTTGCCTTTAGGCTCAGCTCCCTCTTCGCCACAACAGTCCTGTACAACGCCTGCATTACTGCTGATGGCGAGCCAATCTGTCTGTCAATCTCATGCTCCATCCTACTCTCACTCGTTAACAAGACCCTGAGTTACTTGAACTCCTCGACTTGGGGCAAGGACTCACTCCCCACCCGGAGAGAGCAATCCACCTTTTTCTGGCAGAAAACCATGGCTTCGGACTCGGAGGTGCTGACCCTCATTCCAGCCGCTTCACACTCGGCTGCAAACCGCCCCAATGCCTGCTGGAGGTTCCAGCTTGAGGAAGCCAACAAACCACGTCGTCTGCCAAAAGCAGAGACAAGATTTTGAGGTCCCCAAACTGGAAACCCTCCTCCCCCGGCTGCTCCTTGAGATCCTGTCCATGAAGATCACAAACAGGATCGGTGACAAGGGCAACCCTGGCGGAGGCCAACACGCACTGGGAACGTGTCTGACTTTGTGCCGAGGATGCGGACACAGCTCCCACTTTGGTCATACAGGGACCGGATGCCTCGTAGCAACGGCCCCGGGGCCCCATATCCCCACAGTAACCCCCACATGATCCCCGAAGGGACACGGTCAAAAGCCTTCTCCAAATCCACAAAACACATGTAGACTGGATGAGCAAATTCCCATGCTCCCCCAAGAAGCCCTGCGAGGGTAAAGAGCTGGTCCACTGTCCCACGGCCGGGACGGAATCCACATTGTTCCTCCTGTATCAGAGGTTTGACAATTGGCCGGAACCTCCTTTCCAGTACCCTAGAGTAAGCTTTCCCCAGAAGGCTGAGAAGTGTGATACCCCGATAATTGGAGCACACCCTCCGGTCCCCCTTTTTGAAAATGGGAACCACCACACCAGTCTGTCACTCCACAGGCACTGAAAAGCGACATTGGAAAGGCGTGTCAGCCAAGACAGCCCAACAATGTCCAGAGCCTTCAGCATCTCAGGGCGAATCTCATCCACACCTGGTGCCTTGCCACTGAGGAGCTTCCACCGCCCAACAATGTCCCCAGTTCGGGTCAGCAGTTCTCCCCCCTGCTGATAACAGCCTGGGGCAAGCCCTGCTTTCCCTTCCTAAGCCGTCGGACGGTTTGCCGGAACCTCTTTGAGGCCAACCAAAAGTCCTTCTCCAAAGCCTCCCCGAACTCCTCCCACACCTGGGTTTTTGCTTACGCTACCACTGAAGCCACAGCCCTCCAAGCCACCCGATACCTGTCAGCTGCTTCCAGAGACCCATGGGCTAACCAAGCCTGAAAGGCCTCCTTCAGCTGACGGCTTCCTTCACCACTGGTGTCCACCAGCGGGTTATAAGGTTGCCTAGGGTGCTCTGGTACCAGCTACACTTGGGAAAATCCCTATGCTTGAACATGGTGTTTGTTATGGACAATCCTAGACTACCACTCACTCCCCTCCAGGTGTCTCCGTCGTAGCCCACGTGAGCATTGAAGTCCCCCAGTAGAACTACAGAGTCCCTTGGTGGAATCCCTTCCAGGACCCCACCCAGAGACTCCAAGAAGGCCGTGTACTCTGAGCTGCTGTTAGGTGCATATGCACATACAACAGTCAGAGCCTTCCTCTCTGCAACCTGAAGTCACAGAGAGGCGACCCTCTCGTTCACCGGGGAAAACTCCAACACAGTGACGCTCAGCTGGGGGCTTTTTATTAAATAAAACTCTGTGGTTATTTTAGCAAATTTTGAGGTGTGACATGATAACACAAGCAGATAACTAAATCTCCTCCACTATATATCAGCTCCCTCCGCCCCAGTCATCAACCCCCAGATGCCAAACTCTGCCACCCAGACGTCGCTGCGTGTCTGCTGGAGCCTTTTCTCCGATGACACAGTGGAGTACTACGAGCTTTACTACAGACCCGTTTTGGAGGACAAGCCAGCAGACAGCACCCACACAGCACAAGGTACTACACAGAAATGCTGAATGCAGAGTCCTACTGCATGATAACACCATCTACTGTTGAAAGTAGTACTTATTGAAGAATTACAGTGATGAGTTTTGATCAGTACAGCTGCAATGAAATCTGTGCGTTCTTTTTCAGAGAGTAAGGTCAAGGTGAAGGAGACCCACTGCACTGTGACAGATCTGCTGCCCAATGCTCAGTATGAACTGTGGGTGACGGCTACCAACACCACAGGAATCAGCCCAGCGAGCGAGAAGGCCTTATACATCACAGGTAGTAGATGTCACACCACTGCAACTACATGATTCACTTGCAACAGTGGAAAAAGTTGTTCTCTGGTCCCCTTTAAACCCTTTTAGTCATATTTATTTTATGCTGTGAGCACTTAATAGATGGATGTTGTGGAAAATATGTTCTAAATTCTTTATTCCTGTCTTTCTAGTGCCATCGCCTCCAGTGATCAAGCGGAGGGAGTGTACAAGCTGTACAGATGCAGCTCTGATCCGCTGGGAGTCAGGAAACACCAACCCTGTGGACTCTTACACTGTGGAGCTCAGTGAGATGGGAACTGATGACACACAAAGCAGTGTCACAGAGTAAGAGCTGGGGGCAGAAGGTTTAACAGTGCTCTCTGGAATTTCTCATATTTTTAAAGAGTTCACACACAAAGAGGAAGTTGATATTAAGATAAGATAAAGATAAGATATACTTTATTCATCCCAGCAGGGAAATTTAGGTGTTCCAGCAGTTAAAGCTAATCTGCTCTGCTGTGCGGGGTTCAAAGATGTAGAGTCCAATGATGTTTATCCTCACAGGCCTGTCCTTTATTAAAACTTCTGCTTCAATGCATCCATAAACATAGCTGAATTAATGCTTACCTTGCATTTTTTAAATCCTATGGTTATAGAGCTGCTGAATCAAGACTCACTCTGCCCTAGAAAATCTATTCTTAGCTTCAGCTATGACAGCAATGTGAGCCTCAGCTAGAATACTGTCCTCACATTAAGGGCAATTTTGGTGGTTGCTTCATAGAACAGTTAAACCATTTATCCAATCTGTTCATATGTTTTTGCATAGATGAGCCTTAAATGTATGAATTTAAACAGGTATTGAGACTATAAGTTAATTCAAGGCAAAAATCTGTTAGAAGTTTGCAAAAGAAGTGTCAGATGAAATCCTATAATGATGCATTAATCTAATTTCTTTTTTTTCTTTTTTTTTTTTACAAGGATGTGATATTAGCTGGTCTAACTGTTTAATCCCACAGGTCCATAGTAGCCGTGCCCACCTGTCAGTGTTTGATCCAGCTGCAGTCAGGACGGCGTTATCTTATATCTGTGAGAGCGGTTAACATTGGCGGGCCCAGCGACAGGAGTGAAGTTATTACAGTCTCTACGACAGGTGAGAACATTTAACAAAGGCAAAGGAAAAATTACTGATTTATAAAAATCTTGCATTAAAAGTAATGTCCATTTGGGGCACTGGTGGCTTAGTGGTTAGGTCGCGTCCCATGTACAGAGGCTATAGTCCTGTAAGCCGGCAGCCCTGGTTCTGTTCTGGCCTACCCTTACTTTCACGTGTGTCATTCCCCTCATGGGACCCACTCTCTCCCCCAACTTCCCACTCTACCACCCCCAAACCCCCCAACCCCGTTTGTGAACTAGAAAACAATATCAACAATTTGTATTTAAGTTGTATAGAGGTTCAACTTTTAATATTCCAAATGATAAAATAAATAGTGGACAATTAGTTAAAAACGGTAACTTAGAAGTATACCAGTTTGGTGATTTGTATGAGCCATCTCAAAACCTCTATGGGTTTACCCATTAGGAACCAATGCAATAAACATGTAAGGTGGTAGTTGTGGAACTGCGTCTCATATTATTGGCTTGATAAATTCTAAGACTTGTGTAAATCAGTGTACTTCCAGTGATGAAAGACACAACAGGAAACTCAAAGTACTTTTTTTTTATTCTCTCTCTCTTAGTTTGAAAGGTTACTACATATCTGTATAAATCATCCTGGGATAGAAGGCTACAGCCACTTAGGAGAAGGGAACGTAGAACAATTGCTTTAAGAATTAAACTTAAATAAAGGTCTTAAATTAATACACCAACTGCTTTTTGTACATTCATTTAACTGATGTTTTCTCACCTGTACAGGTACATTCTTCTATCTCCTGGAGGATACCGCCCATCCTTGTCTGTCCATCTCTGAGGATGGCTTCACCATGTTTTATGGAGACGAGGAGCTGCCAATTAGTGCAATGGGTTTAGATGATAACACATTTGCCAGGTGATTTATACAACAGCTACTTTTGTGTCAGAGGATGGGAGCTTCGTGTTAATTAAGAGTATGTTTGTGTGTCCAGATGTGTGGCTGTCCTGGGGGACCTGATTCCAGTGCGAGGCCGACATTACTGGGAAGTCGAGGTGGATGACGGGAGTGAGTATAGGATCGGCGTTGCGTACGAGGACACTGAGAGGAATTCGTACCTCGGAGCCAAAACCACGTCCTGGTGTATGAGACACATTCTGACGCCATCCAGGTAACAAAACCTCTGTTAACTTAAAATATGAGCCTAATGTTGGGAACAGGCTCAAACAGTGGTACACCATAGATTATTCTGTAGCACTGTTGCTAATATTAACATGTCTGCGACTGGGATATTATGGCTCAATTCAAACACAATTTAACTCTTGTGAAATGTTTAGTCTGTTGATCAATTTAAACAAAATAAAAACACATTGTTCATACACAGCCAATTCTAAAACATGACAAATCAAACAATTTGTTGTATTATCAATACTGAAGTCCTTTTATTAGACTGCATGGAGAAAGTGAAAGCTGGTTTTTCATTTGATTTAGATTTTTTTTTTTAAAAGCATGCTGATCCTCTCAGGGACTACTACTGCAGTTCTCAGAAACTAGGCCAAGACTAATTTTAGTCACCAGAAATGTTCCTATCCTAAGCAATTTTTTTGCATCCGCTCAGTGCTAAGCTACAGTCTATGAGCTAAACCCATTGAAGGCAGCAGAGCCCATGCCTGTATAACTGTTACTTTATAATGCTGCCATGGTAACCCTTCTTAGAAGAAAGCAGGCGAGTTGAATTGTCACATAGGAAATCAGAGCAACAAATCACGTAAGCCTTTAATGTGGTTTTCATTGTGAGCATCTACACAGTGATAACACCTACCCATACGTGCAATTTAAAAAACGCACATCTCTTATTATCTGCATAATTTATCTGTCATTGAAAATCCTTCTGCTGGATCATGATTCAGTAGTTTTTACTCATAATGACTAACAAAGAAATTATCCCAAACAAGAACAGAAAGCAGTATATTGGGCATTTCTTTGCCGTGAACAATTTTTTTTTTTTTTTAATTTCAGGCATAAATATGAATTCCTACACAACGGTTGGAGTCCAGACCTGAGGATCACTGTGAACCCATTGAGGATAGGAGTGGCTCTGGACTACGAGAGGGGGACTCTGTCCTTCTTTAATGTTGATCTGGAACAACATCTGCACACCTTCCAGTGTCACTTCAGAAATTATATCCACCCCTGCTTTAGCCTGGACAACCCAGGAGCTCTTACAGTACACAATGGCATAGAAGCTCCAGAATATGCATTCATCTGAAACCAGCTCTCATTAAACCCAGGGTTGAACCAGGAGATGAAACCTCTTTCAAATACTTACCAGAGGTCAGGGTGTCAATGCCAACAACGCAAACACCAACATTCATTCAAAATAAAACCATCTGCTGACCTTTCATAGCATTATTAAATGTGCAGGATATAAAGACATTATGTTTTCAGTTGTTTTTTATTTTAATATTCCATGGGAACAGGCATACACCATTTTTCCAAGATAAGAAAAAGCTTCACAGAATTTTACAATATGTATTTATATCATCAGCACCTGCAGCGGAACAAGTGTTTACATTTTTAAAAAAGAAATACGGGGCTTGTTTTTTGATTAAGCAAAAAGGTGCTTTGAAAATTAAAAGTGTTCCAAGGAAGAAAAAAAGAAACATTTGTAGATATTATACAACTGCTTTCACAACTTAAAAGAAAAAAATCCACCCTGAATGATTCCACACTGTTAAAACTGGCTATGTATGTCATTAAGACTGAAGAAATCAGCTTTGAACATTTTAGTGTCAGACTGTCAACCAAACAATAAACGCTTCTGTGAAGGCAACAACAAAATGAGGAAACACTAGTATTGTCAATAACAGTATTACTGACATGTAGCCACAAGGTCATGTGGTTACAAACAAATGCTCAATGACAAACTCACTGGCAGGCTACCTATAAGTCTATATATACACACACATGGTTTTTATATGGGCATGTATTTAAATATGCTTACAATTTGCTTAAACAAACTGGTTCACATTTACTGTGTGAGAGACATGCTTCGAGATCCATGAGAAAATAAAACTATGTAAGAAAAGCAAAAAACCACAACAAGTTTTAAATACTATTTTGGGGGCTTCTGTGCCTTTTTTCAGGGGAGGAGAGTTGACAGAGTCAGAAACTGGGATGAAAAAGTGGGACTTCACACATGGCAAAGTGCCTAAGGTTTGAATTTAACCCAGGATGCCTGCTTGGAGAACTACAGCCTCTACATGGGGAGTTCAACCTAACAGCTATCCTGTGCCCAAAACCTTTTTACCAGAGTGTGGGATTTTCACCAAACATTACAACTGGTGCTTCATCAAAGACAATACCAGTTGTTAGCAACATTAGCCTGATCACTACTGATCTGTACTTAATTACTGCCTTATAGAGATTGTCATCAGATATAACATCTGTAGCTAAAGATGTTTCAAAGAAATGCCCAACAAAGGTGAATAATTTCCTTTCCTTTTATCTTTGATTAAATGTTACAAAATAATAAAATGACTGGTACGCTGAAAGTTTCCTGAAAAGTTGTCAGCAGTAACATATACATTTTTAGAAATGAAGGGGGTAAAACATTGCAACACACTTGTACAATGCTATAACAGTGCATGATAACCAAGGGTGGATTTTTCCTTTTAATGGGTTTGAGAACTTGTTTGTTGAACTTAATGTAGAAACTCTGGGTCTGTGGGTATCCTGGACAGTGGGGGTGAGGATGGGTAGGGGTTATGAGTTATCTGTCTTACTGCTGCGTGTCCTCTCCTCCTCTTCATCAGAGGAGTCTCCTCCGTAGGGCACTAATCCCGATGTGTCTTCTTCCACTTTAGACTTCTTCTCGCACACATTTTTTCGAACACCTGTAAGGGCACAATCACAAAATGGAGAGACAGAGAAATGTAGAGGAAAGATAGAATAAAGGAGAGGGGGAGGGGAGAGACAGAGACAGAAGAAAGAAAAAAAAAAACCCATTGAGGAGCCCCATGTTAGCGGTGGTTTTGAGTTGATCCACGGCCAGGGGAGGGAAGATATCAAATGAAACGGCAGCAGAGCACACATCCATAACAGGCAGGTCCGGGGACACATGTTGAGAGAGAAAACAAGGGAAAGACAAAGAACATATACAAGAAGAGTGTGTTAGTGGGTTCTACCATCTGAGAGGTTCACACAGGTCTCCACTCCTCCCCCATAGCTCCATGGGGGCAGATGCCATTTATATAACAGACAACTATACAGAACAAATGTTCGAGTACTCAAACTCTTAGAAGTGTAAGAATCATGAAGTGCATACCCTTTGGCGCGGCGCTGATGGGCGGACTGCCTGGATCTTCTGTCACAGCGTCTCTCGTCCTTTTTCGGGGAACAGGGGCCGGGGCAACAAAGAGGTGCGGCGGTGGAGGCATCAGGATCCTTAATTTAAAAAAATATATATATTATATATCTTAATCTGCAAAGACTCAGGAAGGATAACATTAAATGATAATGAGCTCTATGAACAAACCTTTCTACTACTTTAGTCTCTCCAACACTGGAGACAGGAGGTGCAGACTCCTGATGAGCAGGGCCCTCTGGAGGACTGCTGGCAGGCTGTACAAAAGAGTTCAAAACATTTAGAACACTTCATATTTTGATGGCCATAAAATAATGAAATGTTAAAAATGTCTGATCCAAGGGTTTGAGAGCAATCCAAAACATTTAAAGGCCTTGTTAAGACTCTTCCAAATGTTTAAGGATCAAACAAATATGAATTAAAAAAATACACAATACAATTACAGGAGGTCATTTGAGAGTTTTTTTAAATTCAGCAGCATTCCACAAAGAGGCGTATTTCCTCTCACATATCTGAACTAGTGTGACAATTGTTTAAAAATCGAGCATGGCTAATCTATTCTACAAAGGCATGATTCTAAGTCAAACCTAAAAATTGATTTGGGATTTTGAGGTGGCATATCAGATTCTAGTGAGGCCAGGCCAAACTGTCTCCCACTGGATCTGCATTTAGAGCCCAGGCAAAATGACCTGAGCCCATCCAGCTCATTGCACTCAACACTAGCATACAGAGGCACCTTTAATGCATCATCTTGGATGAAAACCCAGAAACATTTAGACAACTACATTTGCTCTTTGCACAGTTGTAGCCAGATGTTGCCCACATGCCAACTTAAGCACATAAAGCAAATGGGTAAATTTGGAAGTCAGATGGCCACATTATAAAGCAATAATAGATAGATGAATTAAGGTCTATAGATTATTCACTGGGTTAACATGTACAATGCTGACAGTTGACCAAATCAAAACACTTAATGTGATAAACCAGTCAGAATTATCCTTCAGTGAAAAGAGTCATGTGACACTTCAGCTAACCTCATCTTCTTTGGACCCCTCCTGGAAATGACGTTTGGGACTTCCCGTGTCAGGCGCGGCGTTTAACGATCCTTCAGGCTCCACTGTCTCACTGCTGCCAGGATCCTTAAGTAGAATAAAACCAACACAAATGCACTGATGCCTCAACTGGGTTTATAAAACATTACATGTCACAGGCCTTCTCTAGCTTATTGTTTTTATGCAGATCTTTACATAAACGATAAGCGTTCATAGTTAAGTCTTATAAAGATTGAAGTCTGCTTGTGTAGACTTAAGCCCCGTTTCCAGCAAGCAGTTCAGTTCGTCACGGCACGCATTTTGTGGCGTTTCCACTATCAAAAGTCGGGAAAGGTCCCCAAATTACTGTACCGTCCTACTTTTTGCTACCCTTCTGTTGGGGTGCCAAGTCTACCGATCTGACCTTAAAAGTTGGAGCTAAACACTGCAGTCTGTTGATTGATCGAAAGAATCGTCACTTCCTGTGCGACAGCGGTAATAAAAGGACAAACACATAACTCATTATCCAACCGTCGTCTTTTGTAGTTACCTGGACCAGATAGGGATGTGGTTTTCTAGGACACACCGGATACTGAACCATTGCCTGAGAAGATGGAGGGTTTGTCGACATGTTAGAATGACTTGGGGGACCATTTGCATTACTCCAATAACCACCGGCTCCTGGGTACGCTGAATAGCCGCCAGCATACCCATTTGCTGGGTAGTTATACCAGGACCCCTGGGTAGAGTAATTGCTATTAGGAGGAAATCCATGTGCTGGGTATGCTGAAATGAAAGTATAGAACGTGGAGTTAATAGAACATATCAGATGAACCGATAATGATGTTTTGACAACTGTGACCTGCAATTTCAAACAGAAGTTTAACTAGACTCATCGAGGGAAGTTGATACCTGATACTTTTGGTCACTGGGGATGTCTCATATCTCCAATCCCATAATTCCATTAGGCTTTTGATTTTAAACAAATTCTGTTAATTTGTATGAAGCACTGATGAATAGATTAGTAAATAAAAATAACACTTACTTTCCTCTATTATTTTGAGTCCAATAATCAAGACACAGTAAGTCTTTTTCATCACGTATTAATCAAGGTTACTACATATTAACATTCTTTTAAGTACTGCATCATTACACAGAAGGGAAGTTTACAAGGAATTATAAATGTAAACATTAAAAACAAAACCCATGAGGTAGATCTTCTTAATTTTGTAGAGCACAGAGAAGAGTATAAATAAACAGCAAACTCTTCTAAAGTATCTCTAATCTGGCCGTATAAATGATTGTCATCTTACAAATTGGTCACGAGATGTGCAGATGTTTTACACATTTTGGGAGCATTCTTTTGTAAGTGTGGAGCTCAACTAGTATCTAAAGATGGCGTTGATAGAGCCTCCTGTCTGTGTACAGTCAGCTCTTGTTATGGTTGACAAACTAACGACCCATCACTTCGTAGGTCTGTGCTAATTATAATATTCATTGCTGCATGAAAACAGGAACATAAGTGGAATATTCATTTGAGAATTGTGAAGGAGATTAGTCAGCTGTTGTAGTTTTTAATTAAGCGCAGACAATAATGACAATGTTGGTCACCCTAGAAATGGTTACAAGCTGAAAAAGAATACTCACGTTGTGTTGAGCCTGTGGCCGTGTACACAGACACCATACGGGCATGCTCCGATCTCACCTGCCAAATGAGAGACGAATAAGCGCAAATAAACCAAGTTTTTTCCCCCTACATTTATCTTGTAAGTTATATTGTGGGTAGGTGCAGATCACTTGAAACCAATCTCTGGAAGTCAGGTGGTTCACACTATCATTTTTACTGTAGGAGGTGGGTATCAGTGAAAACTATATGCTTTCATAGTTTCACCTTCTTTTACCTCCAATGACACTCATTCAATTCAGCTAAAGTTGAAAACTTTGTGGTACAATTTCATGAACTTACAGTTTCCAGCAGACTCTCTGTTAGTTTCTTTGCTGCCTCCAGTCCAGTTGCATTTGGGTGGCTGTAAAACACAAGGGGGAAGTTAAATATGAGAGCTCTGCTTTCAATGAAAAATAAAATAAATATATATATATAGCCACAGGCATTAATATACTACAGAAGTCAGGCTCTAAAGTAGCCGTTTCAATCAAAAAGGAACCTTTACCAAAACAGACTAAAAATTGGTTGAATTTCTTTAATGGAAAATGTCCTCATAATAGGATCCCATAAAGGCTGATCCTATCTGAATTCAGACTAATAACTTTTGTTCATGAGGCATGCCATCTCACCATTATAACCAAGTAAACTTGTGGGAAATAAATTTGTTTGTTCATATTTTTGACATTTATTTTTTTCCAATTTTCTTTGAGAAATGTTTATTTCTATTATTTACTTTTTCTATTCTGTTGGATTGAACAATTAAGCTTGTAGAGCTACTGGTAAATCTGTAAGAGAAAATAACTATGGTACTAACAAACTTACCTGATGTAAACATAAAGAGGCTCAAATGACTCCCGCTTTGATGCTTGTTCAATGTAGCCGGAACCTTTTCCCCTGAGGAAGACTCGAGCCCCCGTCTCTGTCTGGATGTGACTCAGGTACGTCCCCCCTGGACCCTCAACCTTTTCGTTCACATTGAATGAAGGCAGTGCCTGGTCCAGACCCACAAAAATCTTTGTATGCACAAAACTCTAAAGGTAAAGAGAAAAAGTGACTTATTGTTTACCCTGCATTTTAAGATAGATTATTATAGTTGGAAGCAGAACAGCTTTGTAAGCAGATGCAGCAATCCAAGGCTTTTCCCTGCAGGCCAGGATGTTCTCTCTGCTACTTAATTTTGGAGGTGAGTATCAGTGAAGGCAACATGGTCTTCATTTGCTTCACTTTCTTTACCTCCATTTTTAAAATCCAGAGTTAATCACAATTAAAGGCAACGAAAGAAAACAAACAGATCAATATTCAACGCAAAGGCACAAAATAATGTCAGATGACTGCTACAGTGTAGAATTAATGGGTTAAATCCCTGCTTGAAGTCAAATAATTATTTATAACACGGTATCATTTTAGAAATGAATCCACAGGAAACTATAGAGGCTTCATCACCATTTGTAGTGGGACAAATGTCATCATAGATATCTCATCTCCCTACCCCTGAATGAGGAGCTGCAGGCCGATGCCCCTGGCCTGGTGTTGTGTTGCTGTTAGGCATCCGTGGGACAGCTGAAATGACAGGCCGAGGAGGCTGAGGGTAGAGTGTGAGCGGAGGCATTATAGGCAACTGCTGTCCGCCTGATGCTGCTGATGCCCTCAACACGTCCTCAGAGATGATCTCCTTTATCCTTAGCACAGCTCCTGATGTTCCAGAAGTCAAACAACGTTGGATTAGATTAGATGAAGAAAGTGCAAGACTGCACATTAAGTGGATAAAAAGAAATATTAAAACAAACTACTTACTATTGACCTGATCTTGGGATTTTCCCTGAACATGCAAATACAAAGGTCTATGCCTAAAAGAAAGCAAATCAGAAATGTCATGGACAATAAAGAATGTCTGCATTCTTCAAAACAACCCTTTTTCCCCTCTATCAGGACTAAAAAGTTCATCATGAAGTAATCTTAGTACATACCCTCCTATTCTCCCCTTGTCATTTTCAGACATGTAATGACCTTTTGTTGAGACAACAGCTCCACTAAACTGTCGGATCTGAAAAGGAATTGGAAAGACATTGGATAAGGACATTTAATGAATATTTAGGGAATGTATATTTGAAGCTGTTCCAAGACTTTCTTTACATCGTTTTGTCACTTTCCATAAGTTAAAGTGCAAAACTTTCATGCCTACTCTCTGCTTACCTCCTCCTGTGTCTTTCCTTTTGTAAGAAGGTCCCTGCAATTGATTGGTACATCATTAATATCGACCTCTGTGACCACCATCTCCTCTGTTATGGTTGATGCAGGCACACTTGGAAGAATCTAAAAGACATTTAAAATTAAAAAAAGGTACACTTTTAGCCCCCCACTGACAATTCAAACAAATTACCAAATTATTTTTTACAGATTTTTAAAATATCGTTTACCTTCGCAAGTAAGGGTGGAGGAGTCAATAGCTTTCCTTTTGCCATTAACATAGCATTTATTTTAGCAGCCATTGCTGCAGCCATTTCAACTCCTCCAGGAGGAGCTGGCTTTTCTCCCGGCTGGGAAACACTGCTGTTAGTAGCGACCCCTGGTAAGGAGACAGCGTGGGCTGCATTTGCACCACTTTGCTGCTGTCCTAAAGCTACATTCTGTTTAGGTTGTGCACGCTGATCCCATCGACTTGACAGGCACCTGAGGATAAAAAAAAGATAAATAAAATAATCTTTAAAGGCATACACATTACTGTTCAATTTAACAACATTTTAAAAACACATCAGTGGAATTTTAGATGAAAGATGAAACATATTCAAGATTAAAAAAGGGGAGATCAGCACCTTTGTATAATTAACCAATCTTTATTAGTATAGCGCCAATTGATAAGAAACATTTACTCAAAAGACATCACAGAACAGCAGGTAAAATACTTTCCTCTTTGTTACGATCTATAAAAAGACCCACCATTAAAACCATCATGTAAAAAAGAAGGAACATTTAGCAAAGTTACAGAGGAAGGAGAAACTTCTTTTAAAGAGGCAGAAACCAGATTACAACAGTAGAAAGTGGGATGGAGGGAAAAGCTGCTTGTGATAATGTTGTGACCCAAACACATCAAAAACAAGTTAAATGTTGTTAACTGGGGTGTTAAATGAAGGAGGGACAATACATGAGCACCCTGCACTCTGACACCAGGTTAGAAATTTATTTTAAATGTTGAAACAATTAATTATAACAATGTACACCAGCAGCATGATAAATGTTTATTGTAGTCTTGACATGTAGTTTTATATAAAACATTTGAATTTAAAAGACATTTCGTTGTTAAACATGGTTTTAATAAAGCTAAGAATTTGTATTTTTGAAGAAATGATCAGTGGCTGTAGTTTTTAAGTCTGTTTCTTTAATGCTAAGCTAACAACAGACACATTCAGCTAGTAGCTTACAGTAGTTCAGTTAGCTACGACGAGGCTAGGTAGCTAGCTACGTTAGCTAACACGATCCCGTTGTGTTCAGTAACTTAATGTTTTCACAGGTGGAGCAATAAAGTTTTAAACATATTGTATCATACACTTAATGCAGCAAACTTGAGTCGACTTTGAAGCGCATTAATAAGATAAATAAGACCCTTCAGACAACATTTATTATGTGCAGGCCTTCACCGTGTGTGTGCTACGCTAGCTGGTGGCTAACCTGCTTTACGTTCACACAGCGACACTAAAATGTATTAACAGAAAACTTAAGTGAACGAAAACTTACGGTGTTTGCCCTGTCATTCCCGAAGACATAGCACCAGCCCCACGTAATTTAGCAGTAAAAAATAAAAACAAATTTCTAATATATTAGACCCTGAACGACGGTAGCCATCGGTCTGCTGTCCCGCGCCGGCGACTTCTTCTGACGACTTGTCGCAAAGTCTGACTTTACCGGAAGTCGAGCTGTTTTCATGTTAAGTAGCCCCAGCTGGCGGAGTCTCACAGGAAACTGCTTAATATTAAATATATATATTTTTTAAAAACGTGTTACCGGTTTTATTCCCAGCCTAACGACATTTAGACAGACAAAGAAATATTAGAAAATTATAACTGTGACCATGCAGCCAAAAAAAACCATTATATTGTGTATTTGCACAGATAGGGGGCGTGAGATGTACATAATTGATCAACCAATGATATTGTACAAAATAAGATTAGTTTTTTTTCTGTTTTTTTTTTAAATGTGCAAATACAACTCGAGAAGGTCTAATAAAGAGGAAATATACTGTCCTCATATGAACACTAGTGGTATTCAATACGTCTTGAAAAGCTTTTAACAGCCTGTCTATATTTAGCTGACAAAACCTCTAGCAGCAGTTTGAAGTTTTGACTCTTTGCCAGAAACGAAGGAAGAAGTTGAAGGACCTTGCCTGTTGCAGCTCAACACCTTGGAAGGAAAAAGTTGCAGGAAAAAAAAAAAAAAAAAAGGGCAACAAACTGAAACAGATTCAGAAGACTAGCCTTCTGCAAACATCCTATTTAGATTATGGTGGCTAATGAAAACAACCACAGGCAAACTTGATGTACAAATACTTTGCTGACTCCAAAACTCTATTCCACTTGTGCTACTGTTCATTAGTTTAACATTAAAGCCAATTGATAGATAATAGTGTAAAAACAATGATAAAATCACATTCACTTGTTTTAGAAAGATATATAGATTCACTGTGCTTGTTTAAAAGTAAAAAACGAAGCATTTAAAGAAACACATTTTTAACAGTCTGTTATGCCTTACCGTGTTCTTTTAAAAGAAATAGTTTGAGCAGGGGAAGAAGAGTTACGACCTGAGATGAGATCTGGTATTGTTCCAGTAAATATTACAATTGAAGAGCATATAAGTAATGTACTTTCTAAGCGATATAGCCGTTGAGTTGCATTTTGTTTTTCACTGAGGTATTGATGTTCAAGTCATGATCACAGCAAGACCACAAGAAGTCTGAGATTTTTTTTTGCCTGCATTCACAAAACCCCAATGTGAGCGTTGTGCACACTTTCAGGATGAACTTAAGGAGGATTTGAATTTGGTAAAATCGATTGCTTGTTTGTAAGTTGTTCTCTGAAAGTTATAGGGTTCTTCTTTGTTCCACACTTCACGGAGTCATCAAGTTTTATGAAAACATCTGACTGGTATCAATTTTCTTTTTCTGTCATCCTGCTGACAAATAAACAAACAACCAGAAAAGTGACACATGCAGGCAAAAGAGAGGGGTTAGTAGCTGGACAGACAAATATTCAAAACATTTACAAGGCACACTGTGGACTAATAGAGGGACATGTCAGGAAAAAAGACAAAAGAAAGATTACAAAAGTAAGAGGACGGAAATTGTATTACTGCAGAAAATAGACTGCAAACATATAATTGACATTATTTTATTTTTCATTGAATAGTTTCTAATTTTCTTCCGTGCCTTCAGACCAAGATGTGAATCAGAAGGAACAAACAAATCCCCTGATTGAGTGTACAATTCTGTCATAAGAGAGAAACAAAGATAAACGTGGTCAATACGCCTCATTAACCATCATATGCCTCGATGTTACGGCATTTATATACTATTTAATGAGGAAATATTCTTAATAAGCAACAATCTTTAACATATATTAGTATCCTAATCTGAAACCAGCCTTGAACCCAACGCTGATCCCTGGGTCTGTGCATAAAGATGTTGGACAAGTGGCCAAAATAGAATGATGTTTGATCAAAAATCAATGCAAGCCGGCCTCTAGGAGACTGCTTAAAGACAGTGATAGACAACTCTGCGATCCACATCCTTCTTAACCATTTAGTTCTCTGTATACATGCTCTGCAGGACCGTCCAATTCACAGGTATTCAGATAGCTAGAATGGTTGATCTCATTTGCTGCAAATCCAGTGTAAAATTCATTGTCTATAAAAATATTGAGATTTACTTGAACATAACCTTCTGACTATGTCATAATAAAAACTCCAGATGTCCGTTGCAGTTGCACAGTGGGATGTACTGTATAAATATTGTATAAAATAAGGCAGTCTTTTCAGTAGGATAAACCAGATACAAAAATTTCTGGGAGAAAAAATTTTCAAGTCCAAAATGTTTTTCACATATTTCTGCTGTTGTCAAATGTCAAGCGGTTTACAGCATTAAACCAAGAGTAAGGGATTGTTGCAACAATGAATACACCCACGCACCCACACCTACAACCCCAACACACACACCCACACCCACACCCACACACTTCCGCACATGCACACACACAAACTCCTGATGAACAACAATAACAGCTTATTCTACAATGCAACATCCCATCCCTGGACAAATCACTGAGACGTAGACATTTCTAATATTGTTTACAGTGCAATACAAAAGTGTTCATTCAAACTGGTACTGTACTTTTAAAATAAAATAAAAATGTTTAATATGGTAATGCTTCATATTAATAATAATAATAATAATAATAATAATAATAATAATAATTGTGAATTTTCGAGAGTTATAGTAGTATCTGTCTTCATTGGCTTTGGCTTTCATCTCTCCTTTTGAAACTCAATTTTGTGTTCTTATTCTTGAACTAATTGACGTATTGAATTGTTTTAATCGAAAAAATATGGAACATCTAGGAGAAATTAACATACCAAATCATCTGAAGTGTTGAGGTTTCGCTCTGTCGGCAGTGGCCTAAGTTAAAGATCCACTCCCTGACCCAAAAACAAAAGCATCCCCTTCAAAATGTCTGTAATGATGGCTGAATGTCAATATGGGTGTGTTTTTGAAGGACACATGAGTATACGTCAAAAAATAACAAAAAACAGTGGAGTGTTTTTTCATGTTACGAGGTTTTTGTTTTAGCAGTGGCCTTAACTAAAGATCGACTACCTGACCACAAGAAAAAGCATTCTCTCGCACTCTGTAGTGCCAGCATGGATGTGTTTCTGATGGACACATGAATATATTGCAGGAAAAAAAAGCAGTGGAGTGTTCTTTCATGTTGTGGCTTCTGGGGGAAGAGGGAGCAGTCCTGTCATGCTGCAAGCACAGGGATGGAGATCAACAGTGATTGGACACTTTCAGATCCAGATCACACTTCATCCTCTCCTCCAGCCTTGCACACTCCTTCATAAACAAGCAGTTTTTTTTTTTACTCAAACAGCAGCTTCACAGGCAGACAGGAGAGCCCATGTGGTATTTTTGGGGACGGCAGTTTGCAGGGAGGCCCGTGAGGAACCTTTTTCAGTCACGTCACTTGTCCAGCTACACTGCGAATGCCTGAGAGGCACGTTAAGTTCATAAAGATGCTCTGTGTCTGTTAGTCACAGTTCTCATCTGACAAGACTGTAAAGCCAGCAGCGTCAAAGCTGCGGCCGTCCGTCAGGAAGTCCTTCTGTGGTTTCTGTATGGACGGACATGTGGACGCTCGGCGTGCTACAGAAGCAGGAGAGTGAAGGCGTGGAGGCCCTTCGGCTGGCAGGGAGAAAGATGCCCCAGCACGAGAGAGGAGGGCTGTCCCGGACTGCAGAGTCACCAGGGCTGCAGCAGCCTACTCTGGAGGCGGTCGCAGGCTGTGCAGCTTCCTCTCGTCAAGGCCTTTCCAGTACTTGAAGTTGTTGTCCAAGTGCTGCATAAGATTAGGGAGGTCTGCAAAAGCTGGAGAGACAACAAAAGATATTTACTGATACCTTGACATCAAATTTGGTCAGTTTTGAATGTCCTGTAATATGTTTTTAAAAGGAACACTGACACATTTTACTGAATGACAACAGATTTATTTCCTGCTCATCTCTCATACATTTCATCTCTGGATATCTGCCTTAATTTTGAACCTTTTCCGAATACCAGTCCGATGCTCATTCATACAGTATACTGTATGAAGTGAATTCAGTTTTTTTTCCCCCATTTACTGTGCTGGGCTAAATATCCCACAGTACTGACAATAGCAATAATTTAATAGAGAGCTCTGGCATAAAAACAACAATGCAGCAATCTGAGAATAAGTGTGATTAAGAACCTTTCGCTATCTGATTTAAATAAGTTAACTGTTTGGTCATGGTCATTCAGCTGCAGCTGATGGCTGTTCAACATGAGAATTAGCGCTATACAAATATCGATCGATTGATATGTCATTGCACCGCTACGTTTGGCAAAGACTACCAAGGTTTAGAAAAAACTGCTTGTCTCCTGCCACATTTGCCTGAAGAAAATCCTTTGGATCCAAAACGTTGCCCTCAATAAAGTTGCTCATTGGAAGCTGAACAGTGTGCAGACCTTTTTTTTCTTAAGGACTACCAAGGTTCCCATGTTTCCCAAAATTTGAAGATGACGATAATTCAGCTCAGTTGCTATTTTGAGCAAAATACTCAGAAAAGACAGTTGCCACTCTACTTGTATGTGTGTGTGTGTGTATTGTTTGCATGAAGCTGTGCAGTCTTACCATCCCATGCATCAAACATGTCTGTGATGAAGTAGTCTATAAAGGAAATCTGGGACTTTGGGATGCTACATGTGTTTCTGTCAAACACAGGCATAACCACTGGCAGGCCTTGTCTCTTCTCCTCGTCCGTCTGTACCAAAGACAGCAACAAAAGTGATCATCTCACACACACTAACTAGATCAATTACATTAAAAACACAGTACATCTGCTGCCAAAACACAACCGCCATGTTATTTTTTCTAATTACCTGTGCGAAATACTCCTCTGAGATGCGTCCTGCCCATTCTATGCAAAGCTCCAGAGGCCTGCATGGATTAGAGATGTCTGCACACTTAATCAGCATCCTCTTGACAAGGATGCGGTTCTCTGGAGATGTCAGGATGCCTTTGACAGATTCCTCATCACTGTTTCCCTTCAAGGAAAAAAAAGGAGGCAGAGCGTAAGCATAAGGACAGCTAAAGATAAATGAAGAGACAGCTCAGTAAACTACAGAACGAGATTACATTCACTGATAATTATGGAAAGCAGAAGCACAGGAGCTCTTCTTGGTTAACACTAGATAAGCCTCTGTTTGATTTGGACCTCCTAGTCGATGGTTAGCTAAATGAAAATAAAGGTCAAAGAGTTTTTATTTTAAATCAATTTAAACTCCATTACATTAACACCAAACACTTCAATGTTTAATCTGTGTAAACTCACAAAGACAATAACTGAGGGGAAACCGGTTTCAAATCACTTATTCACATCATTCTTGCCTTTAAAAAGCAGGACGGCTTTTAAATATCTGTGTCGAGCATTCCACACACAGATGAGAAAGATGGTACTAAGTTGTAAAATTCTCCCCGCACAAAGCTATCTGCACTGGGGCAACAACAGACCGCAAGTCCTCTGAACCGGGATCGTCATCTCTCCAGCGCTTACACTATTGTTGCTCGTAAACTGTTGGAGTGATTCTGTGATAGCGTGTGACAGAATGAGATCACAATGTTTATCAAGTGTCTGAATGCTCCTGTGTGTCCTTCCTGCTCTGACGCACAACACTGATCTATTTAGAAAAAAAAAAGGGGGGGCTAAAATTAGAGCTACTATTTCTACACAGGTAGGAAGTACAAAACAACTTTTTTTAAAAGCTTCATCTTTTTTAAATCTCACCCCATTCTCCTCCAGAGCAGCCAGCGGCTTGTTGATGCTGTTGACGAATTTGTTGACGTGTTCAAAGTGTTTGGTCATCTCCGTTGCGAGCACCATGTCAATGATGGCCTGTCGCAGAGTTCGATATTCATTCCTAGAAAGAGAGATAACAGCGATGCCAGGAATCAGACGGGTGAAAGAGGGGAATGCAGGGTGAGCAGAAGGGGAGAAAACAGAGAGAGGCTGAGATGGCAGTCTTTTAAATAGCATAAAAACCCGTGTGAACAGTTTTCCCCTTCAGACTGTAGTGACAGTGGAGATGAATGGATGCTTTGTTCACTGACCCCCTCAGAGGGGACCAGCACATGTGAGCTATTCTGTTCCAGGATTCAAATCACATTACTACCCTGTTGCTGTCAACACACACAGTAATGCTTTCATTGGCACACATGCCGGCTTATCTGATCCCCTGTGATGCTTCAGGTGATGGCTGTATCACAAACAATTTCTTTAAATGATTTTCATACAGAAAAAATAAACTTTCTGTAATAATGGAACATAAGATGAATGTATTAGCTGTCCCTGCTAATATTACACACCCTCTCACCGTCATTATATTATCAGCTGCTGTTGTTGTTGTTGCTCTGTTTATTTGTCTCTATCCGTCTCTTTCAGTCTGCATCTCCTTCTAATCTACTTTCCCAGCACAGTCTCAGTGGATGGCGGTTCAGTATGAGTCTAGTTCTTCTCGAGGTTCCTGCCTGTTAAAGGCAAGCATTTCCTTGCCACTGTTACTTTGCTAAATGTCACTAAGTGTTGTGCTCATGGTGTGTTAATGCTGGATCTCTAAATTACATAACAAAGAGCACAGCCAAGACCTGGCCTTTTTGTTGGAAAGTGTCTTGAGATAACATTTGATACAATTTGGTGCTATACGAATACAAATTGATTGACATAGATAAACTACATTTATCCTATAAAGCATATTTTGCAAAAAAAATGGAATAAATCATACCACTGGGTTCCTGGGGAAATTGCTGAAATTACACTTGGGCTGCAAAAAGTTGGCGAAAGTGCCTCTTTAAATACAAATTAAAGGAATAGTTCAGCCAAAACTGACAATTTACTTCAGCAAATTAGTTTTTGTTGTGCGCAATTTTGGGCCAGGAACCTTGTTGTATGAACATTTTCTTCTCCAGGTTTTTTTTGCAGATATTGAGGTAAATGCTAACCGTTTACACTACATTCATGAGGTCTCGATAGAGCTATAAAACTATTGAAGGCTTTTTTCATCTGCATACTTCCACATTCACTTAACCTTCAGAGGGAAGTTAAAAAATGTAGAATATGTTGTGTGTTTGATGGCCTGTGATATCTAGCTGTACCACGAGCAAGGCATGGATGGATAATAAGGATGTGATCTAAGGGTGTGGTCTATTCCTTGTGTATTGACTCTCCTACCTTTCAATGTATTTGAAGATGTTGCACTTATCATCTCTCGTGGAGATCTGGAAGGCGAGTGCTGCATGGTGGCTCTCTAACACAGCTGTGTCATTGTAGAGGATGGCCAGCTCACTTCCTGCATTGCACAGGAAGCTGTTGGTGCGTCCTGGGTGGTCCACATCGTGCACTGTAGCAGCGATGAGGGCAGCCACCTCATCGATGGGATCCAAACTTTGCTGTTTGGGGGACACAACATGAAAAAAAAAAAGTCAAAAAAAGTGCAAGGTAAAGGTGGAGTATATTGTGACAAAGGACTTATGGATATTTGGAGTTCTACTTGATTAACTAAACAAAGATCACACAATATGAGTATGACTGCAGAGAGAAGCCGAACTGGATGAGAAAAGTAGCTCTTCATCAGGAAAAGGGTCTGGATTTATCAGCAGGAAAATAACTTTTCTTGTTTGCATTAAATAAATACAATTTAGATTGTTACAATATAAAATCCTGGACCATTTACAAATCTCTCCCAGTATAAAGACATAAAATGAACCCCAATGTCCCCCTCTGTGTGTAAGATGTTCAATCTTGGTAGGGACCTTCACTCTTTGTGTCTGGTTCTGTCCTGAAGTTCAAGCATTCTGGATAGACATTCAACAAGATATGGGAACATTCTTTCTTGTGTTTTATTGTGTATGTATCCTGTCTCTCTACTCCTGTCTCAGCCGTTTCAAGATGCTATTCTTGGTACATGCTCTAGCAGACAAAACAATATCCTTATGTATGCTGCTAGTAGAATATATTTTTGTCATGGATAAGTTACAAACCACCTTTAAAGGCAAAAATGCACAAGATCATCATCAGTTTTTCCTCTTGAATTCTTGACCTGTTTGCTTCACATCACAAAATGACGATTCATGCTACCATGGACTCCATACCTCCATTTCTCAATCTCTAGTATGACTTGGACACTTGCAAGCATTTTGCTTGACTTAAGAACAAAAAACAAACCGACAACAAAAAGAAACTAAGGATTATGCTGTTGTTTTGTTTTCATATCTGAATGTTTATCCATGATGATGCAGACCAATGTTGTGCCGAGTTCTTTGTTACGGACAATTTTCTCCAATACTAACTATAGACAACTGACTGATTGTAAAATGAGAATATTTATATAACCACAAAAAAAGTCTACTTTATTTATAACACTACACATCCAGACAAGAGATCAAGAAATAATAGAGGATCCATTATTTACATGAGTGAAAAACATTTTCAACTCACGTGGAAAGACATGTTTTTTAAAATGATGATTTGTATATAAACAGAACAATGTTATCATAAAATGCTTGAGACACCGTGGACAGAAAGCTGCACTCATTCTTTGACATTCATGACCTCATCAAGTTGATGAGGTCATTCATCGTTTACTGGGTAGTTTTTTCTTCACCTCTCACAGGACTACAAACAGTAGAAATAGCAAGAGTATAAAAAGTAACATTAAACAGATCATCAGAATAAGTGCTCATTTCTAAATTAATTTGCAACATAACAGGGCTGCTAACCTGTAGAGTTCCAGGGATTCATTAACCTTGGGTGATGTAACTTCACAGTTCAGTGGCTAAGCCAATGAAAGATCACTGGAGTGAGATCAGAAATAGACTATTTTATAATCAGCTTAACCAGCGCCTAAACCAGTGAGCCACTGACACACTTGGGTGAAAATGCGGCTCTCTTGGATAACACTGGCTCAGACGCCTGACCCTCAACCCCAGCACAGAGCTGCTTTTTAATAGGAGGAAACTGTAGAATCTTAATATTGTATAAGTGTTTGGACCCACAAACAAATAAGTGGGGACCGTTTGAAACAGAATCAACAAGCGCCTCTACTGAACACAGCCGAATTGGTTCACTCTTTCTTTTAGAATAGAATAGAATTACTTTATTGATCCCAAACTGGGAAATTGTGTTGTTACAGCAGCAGGTTATCCAACACACAATATGAGTAAAAAAACACAATGTTAGCAAATCTAAACACAATACAATATTAAATACAAAGTAAATAAGTACTAAAAATATCAAAACTAAGAATGTGAATATCCACAACCAGGATTTAACTAAGCATTACTTGTCTTAAATAGGAAGATTGAATATGGAAGATTGAATGTAAATGTGCAAAAACAGAGTTGTAAATGGACAGTATTGACATTAGTTAAAGTTAGACTACCATTGCTACATTTTCTCTCAATCTGAAACTCTTTTCTCAGGATGCAATGACTTTGATGGTACAGTTGTTTAACATTGCTAATGGGCTCATTGTGCGAGGATACAAAAAACGCTTTTAAAGTAATGATCGTGAGTCAAGCACACTGACAAAGCAAACGCAAAAAAGCAACAACAAAAAAAACATTCACTTATTGGAAATTACTGAGATTTTAAATATCCTGATAAATTCAACAAAGAGCCCCAAATATTACAGTCAGAAGGGCAGGAAATATCACATATTTATTGACATGTTTGTTTGAAACGCGACGTCATCAATTATCAAAATAGCAGCTGATTAATTTTCTGTCTAACAGCAAATCTATGAACATCACCACTACCCTAAGTCATAGACCATTAGATCATATTATCAATGAATTTACCTTGACCCTCTCCTTGCAGAGAAAGTATGCAGTTGCATGCAGCACGTCAGCAGCGTGGGAAGAGTTATGGTAGGAGTTACTGGAGTGGTAGTTAGCTTCAATCAACTGTAGCCAGGAGCGCAGAGTGGCCTCGGGGCAGTTAAGGAACTCACAGACCCCAAAGCGGGAGAAGATCTTCATGCCTAGGTAGGTCAGGGGCCTGTGGGAGGATTCATCATAGAAGTTTAACGTGAACTCTCATACTAACAAACAAACACATTGGTCATAGTCCCTATACAGCCGCCTCACCGTTTCATGGATGCAGCTTCCAAGTTGAAGACGTCAAAGTCCCATGAGTCCTCGTTCTCCATGGTCTGGGCGATACGAGGGGGGATGTCATTTATGGACAGAGGAGTTGTCAGGTGACTGGGGATGTGGTGAGGCTCTGTCCACCAGAGAGGAGATGAGAAAGGAAGCATTCAGATACAGAAATATGAGTTTTACTATGGACATCTTGAGCTCTGAACAGAAATTATTGTATCTTTCAATAACAGAGCTGTAAAAAAAAGAAATCTTCTAAAATGTTGTGTACTACCTTCTATTATCTCTAGGATCTCTCTCCTCTTTGCTTTATATAACTTACGTTTTGTTGCTAAGATGTATTCATTTCCTGACAATCTGCGCAAACCATCCTGCAAAAAAGGAAAGACAGAAAGTGTCAGTAAACAACGGACGGTATGAATACAATTTATGAAGTCATCATTCTTCCTTTTAAACAGGGACATGAGCAGTTCAGCTCAGAGTAGCACCAACTACACTTCAAACAAACACTGCGAAGGGCTTCAAAATGATTTGGTCAAATAGTTAAGATAGTTCAAATGTACTGTTCAAATGAACAGTGAAATTTACTCTTGAATCAGAACTAATGTAACATTTCTTTATTCATTTAAATTGATGTTTTAACTGGATGAAATTCTTGTCACCATAAAAAATGACATTAGTATAATTAATCAGACATGGATTTTCTGATCTTCTATGCTAATAGAATGATCTCATACTACGACACAATATTTTGGATGCCATGTTATGTTGACACCTTATACTGTTTCCCCACCAGCACAGAGGGAGGGGAGGGATGAGGCTGCCAAGCGGAGCTTATTAATGTAACCAATATGCAGCTTAGAAAATTATTTACATATTCATGAACTGTAATAATAGGTATGTTACAATGAAACCCCGTTAATTTATGAACATACATCAGTACATCAGATAATCAACATTCAGTTATTTCACTTGTCAGCGCTGCATGCTGAGATAGTAAATGGAGCTTAACAGTGAAGTAATACACCATTAAAGAGAGAACAATCATCAGGCTCCTCCCGGACTGCGATTTGTTTCACCTTTGTTATATTTTTTAATGTCTAGGTTGATCAAACAGATCTAGTTAGCATATCATAGTGGTATATGGTCTTGAACTTGTATAGTGCTTTTCTAGTCTTGTGACTACAAAGTGCTTTTACACCACATGTCACATTCACACACTCACACCACATTCACACACTGATGGCAGAGGCTGCAACATAAAGTACCCCACCGTCCAACAAGCACTACTTTATTCACAGGTCGCCAGCAGGTTCATTATCTTGCCAAAGGACACTTTGATATCTGAATGCAGGAGCTGGGGATTAAACCTCCAACCTGCTGGCTGAAAGACAATCAATTCTACCACTGAGCCACAGCCACCCTAATATGGTTGATCAAATCAGCTATCCAGACTATTTTAGTGGAGCCCTATCTGATTGATTTCCATTACATTTTGAAGGTAAGTTCTTGGACCTAAGAGGATTCCTCCGGACAACAATGACCCTTAAGTTTTCCTCTAGCACTAATTCAAGTTTATGTTTGTATTTTTCAAGTCAAACATTTCTCAAAATATTTGTAGTTTCATATCCCTTAAAGAATTATTAAATCTTTAACAGGTACCACTATCATTTAGAAAATAGCAATTGTTTAAGCTGAAAATTTTAGTTATCCTATCAGCCTGATCTGCATCTCTAATTCAATACCAATAAGCTAACGTTTGCATGCTAACATTGCCGAACTAAGCAGTGGCATGCTAGTATGTTGATGTTAGCATTTAGCTCCAAGCCTATAGGCAGCACAGAGCTACTAGCAAGACTGTGGACTCCTTCGTATGTTTAATGTCCTTAAAACCAAAGCCAAAGTTTGGACCCATTTGTCATTGTTAAAATAATAGTAAAAATAATTTGTATTTTGAGAAGTGGCAAGAAACTACAATGATATCAATTTGAACTAAACATGTATTTCTGAAGTGGAATAAACGGATGTACCTAGACCGCTGTATGTCAAGAAATTGTAGAAGGTGGAAAAAAGAAAAGAAAAGAAAAAACAGCATTTAGGCCTCCATTATCAGCCTACAACATTTTTGCTACTTGTCAGCTTTTAAATCACAGGCCTAAACCACACAGTTGTTCTGGTGCATGATAAATATATATATTTTGGGCATAAGTCAATTCATGGGTGTGTATCGCAGAGTGAAATGTTTACTTCACAAGTGAAAAAGGAAGAGGAGACTGGCTCATCTTTGACCCGAGCATTGTCCGATGGTGCTGCTGCCTCTGTACACACTGGTTATTTAAAGTCTTTCCCTAGAAAGATTCAAACTCATCTCTTCATTTTTCACTGGGTCTCCTGTGGTCAGAATTTGCACACCTTTTGCAGCAAAGTAGTGGAATTAAAATATGCAATCAGACCTGTATGATCTTTCTTAAATCTTCACCCGAACCTGATCTCACACCTCCGATTTGTAAAGGCTCAACAGCTTTCATCACTCAGGCAGAGCATTTCTTTCTGCAGAAGCACTCTGTGTCACAGTTCTCTGCCTCTGTGTATCTGTAGTACATTTATAAGTAAAGCCATGCTTATTCATCTGATCCAAAGAACAGGATGTTTCCAGGCCTGTGTAGTCAAGAGGAAGAGGTTCATGTGAGTGTGACTATGTGCAGAGTCTGTTCAGAGAGAGAGAGAGGGAGGGGGAGGCAGAGGGGGGACAGAGAGAGAGACAGAGAGAGAGAGCGAGAGAGAGGGTGGGGTGGGCTTTCCTCTTCAGCCTACAGGAGCACAAAGGACAATCTAACACTTCCTCTGGGGTTGTTGCCAAGACTGCCAACTTGGCACTCTTTCTACTTCTGTACTTCACCATTTCTGTCTGTTAATCTCTGTCTCTGTCCCTCCCCCAAATATGAACAGAACTCCTCACAGAAGTCGACAAGTTCTCCTGCCTCTCTGTTTATGTCATTTAAAGCATAATCAACGTGAGCACTTCAAGGACGTTCACATAGACAAACGTGTTATCACTGTGGAATCCCGTGAATGCTCTGCGTGTGTGTTATCATATGGGAGTTGATTCATTTGCAGGGGAAGGAAGCTGTTTGGGTGTTTTGGACTTCTGGTGGAACCGGGTTCCTTACAGGACCTGCTGCTTACCGTCATCAGCCCCCCCACGAGGTCATTAGTATGGGGGTCCTCATCCTTGGTGCCTAACTGCGGGGAGTAGAGCTCAGTGGTCCTCAGGATCTCCAGTACCCGATCCAAGGCCTCTGCCACAGGCATAGGGCTGCTTTCCTGCGCTGCATTGATGATGTTTATAACCTGGATGGTGTAAGAAGTAAACCATGTTATGATATTAATACTACTAATAATATCAAAACCAACAACAATAAAAATGATGTTCGAAATGTTCAACTATTTTTAATGATAAAAAACGTCAATGTTTATTTGTAAAGCACTTCTAGAAAATCAACAACATTTTGACGTTTGTCATTTTGAAACAAACATATCTGGGGGATAAAAAAGGCAAAGCCAGATCTGACATCATAAATGAATGACAGTTAAGGTGAAGTATTCACATCATCTAGGAACCTGTGGTGGGGTCAGCAGCAAGCATGTGCATAACAAGAGTTATAGCTATGACACACATGCACGGCACGCAGGACACACACACACACACCATACACACACACACACACACACACACAACACACACACACACACACACACTGTGCTTTATTCTGCAGAGGATGATGCCTTCAGGGACTGACTCAAATGATACAGCAGTGGAACTGCTGTGTGTCATATGACCCAACCCTGGGGACTTTTTTGTGTTCCTAACGATCCAGGCTGCCAACTACACAAACCACAGAAACAGCAGGTCATTCTGCTCCAACATGCTGTCCTGTGTTAGGCATGAAATGTGGCATTTTATCTCCCCTCCACACAGTTTGCCTGGCCTCTAGCCTCAGTCCCAGTAGCGGTACAAGAAGTGCTCACAGCGGTTTCAAAGCCAATGTGTTTGGTCATGAGATGCAACACTTTAGTACAAAGTGCTGATCATATGATGTGTGCTCGGAGCAGTGATAGGGAGGGAGATGAACCCACCTTGGTGATGGGAGCCTCTATAGTCATGGAGTGGATGCGAGCCATTGAGGAGTGCCTTCGCTGTGAGCTCCCTGTCAGAGTAAAAGAAATACCCCAAAACATCAGTATTATAATTCAAAAACAAATTCAACTGTATTTTTCCATCTCCTTTATAATGAGTGTGTTTGTGTGTGCCAATTGACACCAAGTGCAAACAGACAACTGGGAAGCGTTCGTAAGTGGACAAGATACGCCCAGAGTTTCCATCATCTATCTCCCTTCACTCTCACCATCGCTCCCCCGAGATGTTGTAGATCTGACGTCCAGAGAGCCTTTCCTGCGGTCTTTGTGCTTACTGGATTGGATGTCTGGAGAGAAGAAAACACCGTACTTGAACATGCACACAAACATGCAAGATAGGTGAAAGGGCTGTTGATTACAAATTATAGGACTTGAAAATCCCAGTTTTGACAACTCTGGAAGGCCAGAGAGAAGAGATTAAAAACTTATTCTGTATCAACCCTTTAGTTTAAATGTAACATTGAAATTAGAGCCTCTTGTCAGAACACTGAGGGGACACAGTCGTGAAAGAGTTAGTGTGAAATATACTGTGCTCCACAGTATTTTGACGGGTGTCGCAAAATAAATCACCTGTGGTGTTATTCAAACACAAAGTTCACTTCAACTTCAGACAGAGTTGTCTTGCACCTACAGCCGACAGTTTTATAGAGCAGGGAGAATTTCAGGGTGGATCTTACCTGTCTGAGACTCTGCCTGCACTCGCTCACTGGATTTATCACTCTGAAAGGACAGATGACAGAAGAATATTGATACAGTAAGCTCCTTTAATTCATTATTAATCCACAAAACTGGAGACGCATCTTACCTTATTATTATCATTTAAAGGCCAGTTGATAGACACATAGTGTCTGGTTTTTCTGTGAATAAAAGAATCCGATAAGTGCAGCAGGAGAAATTTAAGAAATATAATCATTATTAATTAATGTACTTCCCTGTATATTTATTAAGCCAGTAGAAATGTAAATTACATTTAGCAAGCCTGTAGATCCCAAATGAACTCACCCTCCCTGCCCAATTACAGGTGTGATCTTCACATTTTGCTGAATGCTGTCTCCATTCTTTTTTTTGGCATAATAAATCCCCTGCCACTCCTGGAACATCACAAACAAAGCCAGAAATTAAAGATGCACAAATATACACAACAAATTTAGGAAGCATATATTCTTAATAATTGGCAACATCTACACATTTGAAATGTCCAGATAGTTGTTATGGAATAGTTGGTTGTGGCATGATTGCGGTGGATGTAAGGTGGCGTGGTGCACACGGTCAGAGTATTTCAGAGGAGGTGAGCTTGCTTTAATGGGGCGGGGGAGTGCTCCAGGAGTCTGCTGTGCTTGTTTCATGTCCCCCCACCTACAGTCTGCTGTGGCAGCTTAAAAAGAGCCTTCCTGCTGTTCGCCTGTCTGGAACTGACCTTCTCTCTCTGTGTAGTGAGATTACAGCACAGCCATCATCTGCTGTTCTTGTGCACATGAAACGGAGCTGCTGGATGGCCAGTGGTGCATACTTACAGCACACATGGATGCATGTGCACGTGTGCATGCACAGACACAAAGGCAGGAGTGGATAGGAGTGGATCTACAGTAACTGCAAGTGTGTTGTGATTGAAATGCAATACTCTATGATGAGTTCTATGTTACATGTCCAAACTATTTATGTAAGAATATCAACAAACACTACTAAAAGTATTGTATAGTAATTGAATAAATGTACATTACCTTTCCTTTCCGTATGCAGGAGTTTATTGTTTCAAGGAGATCAGGCTTATTCTTCTCACTTTTAGGCACTTCTATTATTTCCTTCCCTATTAGCTCGCCTTGTTGGTAGCCCATTATAGACTCATATGCAGGGTTCACGTACTGTGAAAGAAAAGCAAAAAGAGAGTTTAGGCTTATCGGCTAATCTGGTAATCTACTGATTATAAAATCCATTATCAGTAAATACATAAATAAGACAAAAACCCCTAAGAACATATAAAGCTTCCTAAGCAAAACAAGTCCTATTTATAAAAAGGAAACACATTTATTGCACAGGCTAAAGTTCTTCAACGTTGACAAAAGGAACCATTCAGAGGGACAGAAACCACAACTATCACTTCTGAGATCTTGGATCATGAGACATGAACAGACAGTAAATAGGATAGGAGAAAAAGGGGGGGGGGGTAAGAGAAGTAGAGGGGGTCAAGGAGGGTAGAGAACCATGAACTAGTAATTAAAATAAAGCATAAATATGTGGATTTAAGTTGATTTAAAACCCACCTGAATGACTTGATCTTCAGATGTGATCTCTATGGCCTCTTGGCTTTGTTCTAGAGCTGTGAATATAGCATTCCCAGCCCTTGTAGAGAAACAACAGTAACATGAAAATAGTCATTTATGAAATAATCAGAGTTTCAAGCATTTTCCAAGTACATTTATTTACATTATGCATTTATACTTTGTATAGCAAGTGTTAATCTCTTGATCTCGGTGCAAAAACTCTGAATAAAGGCACTATGTGACTAATGTAACTATAACATTGACAAATACACAACTTACCTCAGTTTGAACTGTGCCCGCACCTCTCCATGCTCCAACTGTAGCAGCTCATTATAGCAGGCCATCGTATTGGCATTCTCCACATATCTCTGAGGGTCAGAGGTCAAAAGCAGGCCACACGGATCAATCACAGACAACACAATCCAATTTTCATGTCAAAGCTTGCATTAGAGGTTATGTTGTAAAGCTGTAACAGCGACTCAGGGAACTCAATGCACATGTCACCAGAGCAAACTCGAAGGATTTACAATCTGTGTTGATGGCAGGGATATAAAATACAAATCAAAAGAATAATACATACACAGTCAGCAGAACACACCAACAAACTTTCACACACACACAGACAACGTCTCTCACCCTATTAAAGCCGGCATTTATAAGGGGCATCACAGAGGCCTCCTCTCTGTCTGGCCTTAAGAAGAGAGCACATGTTAGCACCATAACATCACTATGACAAATGCTTGTTTAGAGAACATCAGAGGTTTGCTTTATCTGAAAGGCCTCCATCGAATCACACTTTTTTAATTATGAAAACACCCCTAATCATAAGCTTCTTGGAAACACAGCGAGGCAACGGGTAGAAAGGCAAGGGGGGTTGGGGGGGGGGGTCACAGAGTTGTACGTACCTTTTCACAACGGCGACTATCACAGTGTTTTCTGAAGAGTTGACCGCTCTAATTGACCTAAATGTTAACAGAGAGAGTCTTTTTAGCCAGTGAGCAGGCTGGTGGAAAAGCCCATGGCATCAAATCAATTTATTTTTCAGTTTTTCACGCTCCGATTCTCCCCGGCAGGCAGAGCCCAGTGGTGGAGCTCTGCGAGCAGGACTAGGCCTCTGAAAGAATGCAGTGTACAGGGCCACTCATCCGCCTGTGGTTTTCCCCAGCCAGTGGTCATAAAAGGCCCTTTAGTTCCCCTCTGGAGCCTGTGCGTGTACACTGAACATATGGATTGGTCAAAATGAATAGGGTTAACATACACGCTGGGCCGGGCAAATGAATGTTTGTAAATGTGTTTTTGGTTTGGGCAGAAGCTAAAGATAGAGGGTGGTATGGGCAGGCACCGCTCATTTCTCACCGACATGACTCCACGACATGGGGTAGCATGAGAGGCAAGTTAGTGAGCCCAAAGTTAGCTGGCCATTTACTTTCCCCACAGAGGCATGGCCAACTTGTAAGCAATTGCAAAGTAAGGCAGAAAAAAGAGGGCTGGTATCCGTCCTGACAAGATCATCTGCTCTGGAACAGTTATCCAACACAGTTTAAATTTCATTCACTTGTATCAACTACAACAGTAAAACCCAACCAAGGGTACTTTTACCCAAAGGCTGCACATGGAGATTCTGGATACCTAAACTGATATGTCAAAAAATGTATTATATTTGATTTGAATATAAAAGGTCTACATAATAAATCAGCATCAGAGAGCGTGTGAAATCTAGTTTCAAAGCGAGCACAAGAGTCCTAACAGTTAGCCTATAGGGAGGAACAAATGGCAGAAATATTTGGCTCAAAGAAGTGGATAAATAGAAATGGCCAAAAATTGGAATAGTTGAAAATCTCATGGTGAAATCTTCTTTAATAATACTACATTAAATGGATAAAACGAGTTAACATTGGAACATTTATGGATAAAGGTTTCAATCGACGGTTAAAGAAAGAAATAGTGTTGAGATAAAGAAAGTTGATAATGGTAGTAATTCAAATAGTGAGCTGAAGTAATGGATAAATGGTCCAAATAGTATTAAAATTACAGAACACATTCTTAGGCTAGCCAAGTAATGTAACAGTAGAAACAGCCTTAAAACATAAAATAAATGGAGGAAATTGCTCAAATATGTATGAATGTTGTAATAGTTAAGTTTATATTGGACAAAGAGTCAAAATAACTTGGTGATTAGCGTTAGATATCCCTAGCTAAAACAGTTGGCCAAAGGTTATAGACATGTGGTTGAAAATGTTACCCTTTAAACAATCCAGTGGTAGTACTAATGCAAACAGAACCATATGACCTTTCACCTGAAAACTGACAATAAACAAAAACAAAACAATACCCACACAAACAAATTATAGTCTTAAAAAGCATCCAGCTTATTCACTTGGAACATTAAAGATGCCAAACACAAAATAAGGTAAGGGTACAACGATGATGATGGTAAAAATGTCCTACCGGCATAGTGCTTCAGCATCAAAGTGTCTGGAATGTCTGTGGTCAATGATGACGAGGTCATGATGCTTCTCCAAGAAGCATTCAAGAGCCGACTCGGGTGTTCGTGCCAAGCTGCACCTGAAGTTGGCCTTCTCACATGCCCAGCAGAAGCCATTACTCTGACTGTCCTCTTTGGCAAAAACTAAAAGTACCTGCAAAAAAAGAAAGAGATGACTAAGCACATAATGTCCAACAGCGTCATTTTTTATTTCATGTGACTTGTTGCCGGGTAAAAGACCCAGAGTAAGATATTACTTTGAAAAGGCAAATTTACAACAGCTATCTGCCTCCATCCTATACTATGTGATTATTACACTAAAAAGAAGATGAGAGAGCTTCAGTGAAATGGGATTCTGCTGCGTCAGTGTATCATAGATCTGACTTGTCAAGTCATCACTGGTGCGTTCATGCTCATTCGCGTCTGTCGTCCTGATCGGCCTGCAGTGCGGGCTTGTCTGTGACCTCAGGCCTCCAAGGGACAGGCAGGCCCTGATTGATCAGGCTCAGCTCACACTCGGCTGCGTCACAGATTTTATTGTCCGCTGCCGTGATCTATGACACAATTAGTCGAGGTGGCCTTGAGTGGCTGCAGCCCCTCCCACCCGTCTGCCAAGGCTGTGGCAGAAAGTGCTGCTGCTATCGTCAAACCGGCCATTGATAGCCCGCTCTCTCTCTGCCAGCATACTTTCATATAACCCCTTACTTGCGTAAATACCGGACCTGAGATTTAGGCCTGCCTCCAAGAGCAGAGCTGCACTAAGAGTAGATTCATGAGTCACCCTCTCAAACAGACGTCATCTCCCACTGTTGGCAGGGAGCAGAATGAACGTAAAGAAGGGAAAGTTTGTTCTGCAGTTTTCACTTTGCATCACACCTGTAAAATGAGTTAGGGCACAAGACCTGACTTTGTAGAGAAAACTGGAGCTTCTGTTCTCTGCACAATGAAGGAACAGAGGGCTGGCTGTGTTGACACTTGTCCTTTTGATTCATTCTGACGCTCGGTGTGGCTTTATTCAAGTACCAAAAGGCCTAAAGCAGAGAGAACTTACGCCTGAGAGGGGTGTTACTAATGCAAACCATATTCCGCTCTTGAACATTTTCCCTACAAGCGGCGATAAGTGTCCAGGTCATAAATACATCAACGCTGAGTTCTGCAGCTATGTTTGGTACGCACAGGGAATTAGATCAGAATTCCACATTGGGATGTTGGTAGAAAAGTCAACATTCCCGCAGAGGTGGAGGAACAGGGAAATATAGGTGGTAGGAGATAAGGTCTTTTCAGAAGCCTGGACTAAGAGCAGTGAGCTAGGCTCAGTGAGCATCCAGTCAAAACAGAAAAAAGTCTGCAAAGTTTCTTTAAGAGAGCACACACACTTTTTATGCTCCAAAGGAATGCATGGAAAGGAAGAGAAAGAGGCAGAAAGACAGCAATAGGGGATGGGGGTTTCTCAGGAGGGGTAGCAGCATTTCTTTGGCAGTGTCTGATTGCTCTGTCGAGAAAACATCATTGTTGAAAACAGAGAAGGCCTGGCCAGATCCTGTGAGCGGCGAGAAAAGAGGGAGGTGTGGAAAGGAGGAGGGCATGACAGGATCAGCTGTGAGTGACAAAAACAGGAAGGGGATATCTCTCTACCTCATTTTCCTCCTGTGCTCACACTGGAGCTCGTCGGATAATAAAAAGCTGAATTACAGGACGTCTGATAATTTGCTTTTCTTTGAGTCTCGCTGATTTCTTATCATCATGTAAGGCTATGTTTGGCAAAATAAACAATTGTCCTGTGTAACCGAGTAAGAGGTTCTTTTTTCAAACACTTCTGTCTGCTGAAGCTGTCAGAAATGTTGCATTTTTGTCTTAAAACTAGGGCTGGACTCGTAAAGGATCTTTTGGGACAATACCAATAATGATAATTAGGAAGAAAACTCTGTTACCGATATATTGGCCTATATCTTTCTTTGATCTGATGTTCGATCTTTAGCGATAGATCGATATAGATATACACATTTATTGTGTTAATCCCTCAAATGCAGTTATCAAACGCTTGTGGAAAGGATAAACAGTACAACGAAGATAAAATGGTCACTCAACTGGAAAGTAACTACGCATGCACGTTTGTCACCAATCGACACTTTGAAGGGTGATAATGCTTTTTGTAATCCATAAAGCACACTCTGCTGGAGAACTATTACAAGTGTAATAAAATGATACTCAAATGAAATGCTGTTTGGCTGATGAATAAGTCTAGAAATATCGGCGCATATCTGCAATAAAATGAGCCGATACTGATAGTCACTGGATACGCCAATATCACCATCCGATTAATCGGTCGGGCTCTACTAAAAAAAGAATGACACTTAATCTAATAACCGAAAATCAGTTTTCAGCTCCTTCATGCAGCCATCAAATAATATCAAAATGACCCATGTTTTCACACAACAGCAGCACATGGAAAAAGGAGAAAGCACAGTACCAAACTGTATAAAGACCCACTGAATGTCAGAGAAAGTCCTGAACTGGCCCATGGATCATCTGTCCAGTCCTTCCATAACACACATTGTTCATTATGGTATGTTCTTGGTCCTAAATTGGCCTTGTTGCGTTGCCAACCCTGGGCTGTATGGCATACAGTACGGCCTTTACCAGTCTTTTTTCTGTTTACATTCCTATTCTTTGGATGTTTGCATGTGCACATTTTTTTTTTAAATCTCTGTGCAAAGAAAACCAGTTAATGTTTTGAAAGACTAATCCTAGAAAAATGCAACCAAATATTGTCAGTCACACAAAGTTGACTTCCATTGTTCGAAGGAAAACATTTCACTGGAGCTGCGTCAGACCCGTCATTTTGTGGAAACCAAAGACTGAATATTAAGATAGACCAAGAAACAGCAAAAAATATTTAGAGCTCCCCCTGCTGACTGGGTGCAGTATGTATGTAACATTATAATAGACACCTATATGGATTTAGGTATCTTCTTGCAGCATTTCCAACCGGATTAGAAGATTAGAGGAAGAAAGGTGAGAGGAAACGGAACGAAAACTAACAACACAGTCATTGAACTTTCCATAAACCTGAGTGTCTTCTCCAAACAGACCCAATAATCTGTTCTGTTGTTAACTGTAACATTCTGAGGGGTCTTCGGCGTTTATTGGGAAGTTATGTGGCATCAATGTTGTAGTTCCTTCAGCCAGCTCCCTTCTGTGCACGTCTTGCCGCCAAATTCTACAATGCTACAAATCACAATTCATTTATCTAACTCTTTTGTCCAAATCAATTTACATCAGGGATCAAGTTCAACACAAGCAAGGATCCAGAGAGGAGGAAACAACGTCAGTGAGTGCTAACAAACACCTTTCAGTCCGAATGGAAACACAGGTGCTGACAGGCAGTGCACAGAGGCAAAGCAATGCTTTTTTTGTTGCTGTTTCCAAAAAAAAAAAAAAAATTATCGTCATCATCATCAACAACATCGTCAGCTTCGCGATGGTAAATTTCTAATCAGCATCAATGTCACCAACTCGATATGTCAGCGGGCAATTCTGCCTTCAATTCTGTACGATGGAAGGAGACGGAGAAGCGCTGTCCATATTAATATACCACCTACGATGGAAACACATTCAAGCACATCGCCATCAATGATTTGGATGTTCAGCATTATCTTACAATACCTGAAGTGGGTCTTTAAATAACTTCATTGGTCCAAATTGCACCTCTGTTAATGTGGTCTGAAAGACAAGAAAAAGAAGAATACAAGGGTTAGAAAAATACATCTTATGGGTCTTACTTACATGTGATATTCCTTCAGTCAAGTTTTTGTTTTGTCCCCGTAAGATACGTTCATAGCTCTTATTACACATAAGTTTATATGATTTAAATGCACAAATCTGTAGAACGACAAGCAATGTAAATTACAGACCCCCCCCTTAAAAAGATGTATTGTTAAACAGAATCCACTTTGATTAGGCATCACCATCCTGTGAATGTGTCAGGCGGGACAGGAAGACTCTGTGGTCAGAGACTTCAGAGCACTTTTGAGTGCGCACAGAGCTGATTACTTTAGTTATGACTGACAGACCCAACACACAACTAAAGGTTCTGATTATTCATTTGAATAAGTGAGTGCAAAATGAACTGTTATCATATATATGCCAGGGAAAATATTATTTTCTCCAAGTGACTCAAATTTTTATTTATTTTTTTGGATCCTGCATGTTTACATATTTTATATTCAATCTTCTTTGTGATGGTTTATGGTTTATGTTCATGACACTTTGAATCGCCTTGTTGCTGAAATGTGCTTTATAACTAAACTTGCCTTGCCTTTACTAAGATCTTCTATGAATGTAAAAGTGTTGACAATTAAAAAAAAGCTTTCCACAGAAATAAACACTGTAGAGGGCTACTGATATATCCCATGGCTCTTCCATCATATTTGCCAAATCTGCCCTGTCTAGGCAATATATTGAATTGAATTGAAAGCCTTATATTTGTAAAGACTCGGATGTTATGAAAGAGAGACAGATTACCCCTGCCAGTCTGTGTCATTTTTCTAGGGGCTCTAAGACACAACACTCAGCTCATTTACCCACACTTGACTGCATGAAAATATATTGAAGCCAGAGCAATAACTCATTTGGACAATAACAGCTGCATTTCTAAAATATCTGATTCTGCTTTGGTACCACCACCTCCCAATCTTCCATGTCCATGTTCTCATGTAGGCCCCCTCTCTATACCTCGACCAGAAGGTAGATTATTCCCCAAACAGTCCAACATCATCCACTTTTCAATTATTTATCAGGAAAGATGGCCGATTACTGGTTTCAATGTCTTTATCTCAGCCTTGAACATTTGAAGAAATCATTCCCGATATTGAATTATAAAGTCACAAAGACATTATTATAATAATTATAACTGAATCACAAAATACTCCATTTCACTTTGAACCAGTAAAATATCTAAGTTAATAAACATGTGAACATTATTTCTTTATCTATTAATGTTTGTCCTTGAATTTTGTCAACAATTTGCCTACAATCTCCCTCCATAAACGGGAATGCAGCTTTCTAAGTTGCAAAGAGAAATATTATCAGAGAGAATAGGGGCACCTAAGCCCCCCTTAAGGACACCATTAGTAAGTTAGTAAGTCTGTTGGTATACCACATTTCACAGATACACATCACACAGTGCTTTACATGAAAAGTACAACTGTAGCTCTCATAACCTGGAGCATCTGTTGATCCATAAAAAAAGACTCTGAAGATGAGAAAATAAATTACTCTGTAGCACATTTTAAACAGACACATCATCTTGGGAAGTAATTTCCTTTTTTATTTATATAATATTTCATTTCCTTATCAAAACCTTTGTCCTAGTCATGCAATTATTTACTGGATTTGATGTGGAATCACTATTTTTATAACATTTAATTAAAATAGAATATAATTTAACTTCCAAGTATGTGAAACAATTGTGAAAATTTGATATTGATCCATGAGACCCAACTGCTGTATGTGTAATAGTATTATTGCAAAAAAGGGAGTGTCTGTGAAGCTCAGTTGCAAGAGAAGGCGCCCCACATTCAAAGGATACAGTCCAAGTCACACTGGACGCAGGTTAGATTCCGGCCCTGATCCTGTTTGGTGCATGTCATCCCTACTCTCTCCCCCCATATTTCCTGTCTCTCTCCAAATTTTCAATATAATAACCTCCCCCCCTCCTCAATGTATTTATTTCAGTATAAAATAGAGGTGGGAAAAAAATGTATTTATACAGAAACCGAGATGCTTATCTTCTGAGATTTTAAATCGATTTTGTTTTTGGCTGATCAGTCACTCTCTGATAAGTGTTTAGGCTAGCTCTTTATATTATTCATAAATAGACTTTGAATGATGAATCCAAAATCGTTTTGAATCAAAAATAGATTCTGAATCTAATCATGACCCCAAGAATCGAAATTTGAATTGATTTGTGAGACACCCAAAGATTCCCAGCCCTAGTATTAAAGCGGTAAACTGTTGTGACTTCTGCCAAAACTGAGCTTGCATTTTTAATGAAAGTGCCCTGATACAGAAATGACAGCATCTGATGCAACAGTAGACATCATTATGTTGCCATATAAGGAAATATCTTATTCATATCTTTATTTTCAGTATATCCTCCTAAAGTGCTTAAGTAAGTTAAGTTACTTGGCGTCAGTTTTACCTCGGAGAGACTGCTGATGAACAAAGAGAAATTAAAAAAACATATTTTAGATTTGTCAAGAAGTAAAAGCAATGAAATAAATTAAAAATAAAGTTAATTCCACAAAGACAGGTTTTCAACTCATTACACTTTCCCTTCATGAGCTTACTCTTTTCTGTCTGCAAATAATTTTGCTTCCTTCCTACTAAATGGAACCGAGCTCAGGGGTTAGTATCCATAGCAACCAAGCCCCTTGCGGACCGCCATCCCTCTAGAATTCCTCTTCTCCGTAAACAATCCACACATGTGAGGGGGAATACAGAGAGGAATTTCAGAACATGCCGGGCGGCAGTAAATCACTTCTTGCTAAATTGTAAGCCTTTTGAAAGCTTCATGAAACAACAAAGGGGGGAAAAAAGCTGATTAGCCCTCGGTTGTAGCCAAATTGACGTCATCATGACACTGGGCCGTTTGTTGTAGCTGCTCCACAAACAGGGAGTATGGCATTGGGATGTCAGCTAGCTCACACTCTGTGATCATCTGATCTTTTACAGACACGAGGACCTGGTCGCATGATACGCTTATGTGCACTGAAGAGACAGTATGCATGTGTTAGCGTGTGTGTAAGAGTGCGGGGCTATATAGTAGGGCCAAACATATAGACATACCACAAACCCATGATTTTCTGAAAGGGTGTGACCAAACAAGGTCTAGTCTTTTCTCTTGTCCGACATGAATTAATTGACTGCGATCATGCTCAAATAAACAATCTTGGGATTACTTTGAGTGTGCAAAACAATAATGTCAGCGTTCAGTCATTTAAGTCACAACAGCTGCTCTACAGTATAAATGAAGGGATTTATGATCATATTTCAAGACAACTTAAAACATATTGAATAACCTATAAGCTACATTTACACAACAGCTGAAGTTGGAAACCAGCAATTACTAGATTTTAATCTGGTTAGCTAAGAAATAGCTGAGCTAAAATCACTGTTTGGTTGTTTTGCACAAGCAATAGAAAATGCATAAATGCCAAGCTAACATAATGTTGCTTGGAAATAACTAGTTGACATTCTTATTAGCCAAGATATTGATGATATTGTGTGGATTTATAATAAGGGTTCAACATGTGGAAACACCACTAACTCGTGCTTTTCCAAGTTTTGACAAAACAGGATGTCGTTTTTTCTTCTCGTCAGATATGATTTTCATTACTCTCCCCACCTGTGGAGGTTAAACAAAACACGCACTCTTCTATAAAAGATTACTGCTGGCTATAACCATATACTGTTAATATTAAAGGACAAAGTGACGTCAGCCATCTGTTATCGGCAGCAGCCGCCATGCTGGAAATCCTTTCTCAGCCTAACTTTCAGTCAAACTAACGACAAAGCCGAAACTGAGGCGGGTTTTAAGACTCTTTGCGAACCGTTACATCGCGCCCACCTGTCAATCATGTCAGCTACATGCCACACTATGGATAACACTTATCGTTTTCAAAATCAAAATCAAGAACCGTTTTTTTTATTCTACCTGTAATGTTATCTAAAAAAACAGGTAACTGCTCGCATTAGCTGCTATGTAGCAGCTGCTAATGAGTTAGCAAATGTATTGTTTTACATTGAAATAAAGCTAGATTTTCCCTCAGATATTCACTTTTAATTGTCTTTCAGTTGTGTTTTCATTAAGAAGAGGTGTAAGAGGGGAATGTTTGTTCATTACCCCAAAAATGATACACCCTACGTCCTGGTATAAAACAGTACACAAGTATAACAGAACTTAAGCTTTCCAGCCTGAACATGACCCCTGAAAAAATGATCTGCCCTGTGTATTTGGTGAATTGCATATTTGGTGAATGATGTCATTATTAACAAACCAGCTGTGGTGGTACATATAGGGAGCTGGGTCACAGTCACTATCTGAAGAGGCCCGGCCAGAGTAGCATGAAGCACTGTCTCCATCCAAGGAGACTTCCCTCTCTACCCAACACTGACACAACCAATGCAACTGTAGCTGAGGTTGTATAACTCAAATAGCCAGCCAGCCACACACGCAGACAAACACACATAGTTGAACCTGTCTGCCAGCCTCTTTGGGCAACACACTCCTCCAGTACAGTACACACACACACACACACACAACTGTGTACACACTGCATTGAATCACTCAGCCATGCATTTGCATCCCACAAACATCATGCTGGCACTGAACCAGAGGCAAACAAAGCAGGGGAAGTGAGTGAGCATGTAGGCCAGAGAGGCGAGGAGTGCGGACTCAGTGCGTATGTCAACGTAATCCAAAGTCCCGCCCTCCTGCTATATGCTGCCATTTGCACCAGTCACTCTAAGATCTCTCTCTCTTAGGCCCTTAGTCCAGCAGGGCAAAGTTGTGATGTAGTGGTGCCTGATGCCAATACTTTTGGAGTTGAATACACTACATTCTAACTCTTTATTCATCATTTCTGTCATCCAACAAATTTATACATTTTTCTGGCAGATTACACCTGTTGGGCCTCAGCCATGTGTGTTGGACAAAGGAC